ATACAAAAGACATTTTTCTTTGCGTTCCTGATTGTTAATGGTGAAGGGAAAAATAGTTAATCACAATCAAATATTAAGATTGTTTTACCCTTGAATAAGATTCACCTTGGACAGGGAATAATAATGATTGTGATGAGGTTGATTATGATTATGTTGATGATAATAATAACAACAAAAGTGACACTAACAATGACAAAAAAGTGAATGAAGAAGAAAGTAATTTTGCATTTCAATTGAGAATCAATTCTCAATACAGAAATCAATCAAAAAGGTAAAACAAAAGTTAAAACGGATTAAAGGTAATGTATTAAATTACCAGTGGTTGCAGTTTAATTAGTTGATTATCATTGATGATTAGTTGAATCATTGTTGAGATTGTTGTTATTTGAGAAGTTTAATTGTTTTCCTTTGAAACATTTTCTCAATTTGATCACATCGCTCAGTAAAATGTCAAAAAATCAAATTAATCTGAAAAGATAATCTCATTAATCTGAATTGTTACCAACAATCAACATTTTAATTGGTAAATCTATTCACTGAATCAAGGTTCAACATTTAACATTCACTAATTACAATCTCATTTAACCATCTTATTGTTTAATTGACACTTTCAACTTCATCAAATCGCCAGATTCATTTCACTTTGCGGACAATTCTGAGCTTTTCAACATTTTTCATTTCTTATAATTTACAGAATTTTTTCATTCCATTTCAAGATTTCAGTTTCGATCCTTGATTTGACTTGGATTTTGATCCAATTTTTCGCTTCATTTTCACGCATTTCTATGCAATTGCAAGAAATTTTTGATTCTTTTTTCTATGTTTTGTCCATTTTGATGATCAAAGTTGATCATCTTTGAAGGTGATTTATGTTATTATTATTAAACCGAACCATTGAAATATTGTTGATCAATTTGGTTAACAAGGTTATCGATTAAAAGTTTCCTTATCCAATCAAATAATATTATCAATTGCTTTTTGATTTCTCATTACAATTATAACTGTAAACGGAATAAATTACAATTGATGATTGATTTGCATTTTAGATCAACTCCAATTTGACCTGAAAATTGATGAATTGCACTTTCACTTTAATCTCCAACTCTAAATCAATAGTTTCTAAATCATATTAATCTTGAAACTTTCATTCGATTTGCGTGATAATTTAAAATTAAACTAAGAAGTTAATTAAGGCTAAATACAGTTCAATCGACGATTGAATTTAACTTTTGTCTTTGCACTTCTTTCCAACAAAATTTCAATGTAAGCTCAACACTTTCATAGTCTAACAATCAATGTTCATCATTTTGCACAATTGAAGGCTTACCAAGTTAATCATGCAAAGGTTTACAATCAAACCTCTGAAGCTCAAATCGTTTAAAGCCAATATTGCGCAAAATGACAATCATTATCATTTGATTAATAGCGATCTTCAGTTAACCCAAAGTATTTACATAAACTTGACCAAACTATCATTACAATTAACTAATTGTCTACTTTCCTGATCACCATTTCTTCTTCTTGTTAACCATTTTTGTCTATTTTTCTTCCTGATTGTCGTCTGAACGTATCACTGAAATCCTTGAACGATTAAATGAAATAAGATTTGAAATGATCAAAAGCTTGCGGCTAAACGCTGATAGTAATGATATCAATTCCTATTCCTAATTGTCTTCAATATAAATAGATGAAAGGGTTTCTCCAGAGATTTTGTTTTTTCCAATCAAACTTTTTTTCTCCAATTTTTGAACAAATGCCTTTCAAATCAACTTTCCAATTTCGCTACCTTTTAATCACTCAATTAGTTAATCTTGTTAATTCACTTGTTTAAACATTTAATTGCCATCTTCTCAGTAAAACCTCCCAAATTATTATCAACATTATTGTCGAAATATTAGCATCATTATCAGCATCATTATCATTACCTTGGCAAACTTACAATGAAAACTTGGGACTTTGCTAAATGAACTGGACAGCCTTGGATTTTTTAATGTTTTTTTTCAATCACAGAGAGGTAATAAAGGTTACAATCAATTGATTGTGAGAAGAAAAGAGGTTTAATCGAAAGACAAATTCAAATGATAACTCGAGTGATAAACTAATGCCAAACTGTCCTCTGATAATCACGTGTTGGTCAGATTCATAAACACTGATCAAAATTGACACAAAATTAGCAAAACCAGGTTTTACCAGAAAAAAAGACAAAAACAAAAACAAGAAAACTGTCCAACTGCACGTACAAATTTCCAAGTGACAATCAATGAATTCAAGAATTGACTGAACATCAAATCTTGATTCAACTCGAATCAACTTTCAACTTCAAATTTTGCAAAATTGATTTTTTCGATAAAAAATTCATCTTTTATCAAACATTTGGATTGACAATTTTTGTACATTTGTTATCCTTTTTGGTCAATATTGACCTGCATTGTGATTGATTGACCTTGGATGGGCAAATATGATTTGAAATGTTAGGCTTTCGTGAATCGATTTATAATGACATTCTTAATATAATCAACATTCAACATGATTAATCGTAAATGATTAATCCTGGCCTCTTCTTTCAAATATTTGATAATTTGTTGAAACACCTTATTATTATAATGATTGTCATTACTTTTTTTATTATTATTTTGATTACCATTATTATCTTTCTTTTATTATTTACCAATACTTGTTTACCTGACATTTGCTCATTTGTTTACCAATATCAACCCTTATTGTGTAAATTAAATTTAATGTAAATTTAAATATTCATTTGACCTAAAAATTGAATATTATGACTGGCTGAGCAAACAAATGTCCAAATGTCTAATGTTGATGTTTCAATCAAATTGTTATCCAAAGGCGACTTTATTTGCTTCAAGCGATCTTTCAGTTTCCCATCAATAAGACAAGGTTAATCGTCTATTTAGCATCTTTCCTCTCCATCATCTTCATATGGTAGCTAAACCTGAATATCAAGCTAATTGTCAATTGTTTTTGCTCTTTTAAAATGCTTTCTAATTGCGACTCCATTTGTCTCCAGCAATTATGTGTTAAAAGGTTTGATTTACCTTTTATTGGTAAAATTTAGCTAAAAGTTAATTTAAATTCCCACATTTTCCCACCATTAATAACTGTTTCTCTGTTACTTATCAGTTAACATTGGCCAGTGCAAATAAACTTAACCTTTTCATCGATATCTTGAATTGACATTAATTGTTATTGATGAATGCTGCTAATTGTGTTTAAAGTGGACAATTTAAGGTTAAGTTACAGTCTAGACTTTTATTTCAATCATTTTACGTTATTTTACGCTATTTTAATCATTGATAATTACATTGATAGGAAAACTGGTGAAAGGAAATTATTTTGTTTTAAATTGGTTAATTAGAAGCCAATAAATCTAAATTATGATTGTTTCTGAATTTTAATGAGCAATTTGTGTTGAAATGTAATCACTTTTGGTCATTTTTAACCATTTAATGAGATAACATAAGGTCAATGTTAGAATTGTCTTGAAGAAGATTATAATTTGATTGCAATTTGAATTAAATCTAATCATTTGGTGTTATACATTTGATTTGAGGTAAACAAAACTGGTTACGAGGTAATGATGAACAGAATGATGGACAAAATGATAAACTAAATGATAAACAATGGTCATTAAGTTAATAATGTGCAAAAGAATAGATGTTGGTCAGTTGGATGATGCAAGTAAAAGAGTGAAAAATGTCAAATTATTTGAAAATGACCTCAATTATGGTTTATGTTTGGGTCAATAATGATGAACGGGATTATGTTTGGTGTTAGATTGGGAATCAACTAATACTTAATGGTGACCTTGCACGTTTTATTACAATCCTTTGCTTCATCATTGATTAACAATGTTATTATTGCTAATCATCTATCATGCTGTTGATAATGATGTTGATGTTTATGGTGTTGCTGTTGACCACTTTCAATTGAATCTGTTATTATTTTACCATCCATTTGATTGCAATGAATATCATTTGTTGGTTAACAAACTTGGTTTCATCGTTCCCAACAATTTGTTTATTGTGATCATATTTTGTTGCTTTATCAACAGTTTCTTGAGTAATTTCATGTTAGGCTTGGTGTCCATCTTCACTAAACTGTGTTTGTTTTCACACACTTGCTCAATGAATGTGTTAAACAGTGAATATTGTTTATGACTTACAATTAACTATCCAATTAACTATCATTCAAATCAAAATATTGAGCTGAAATAAAGATGATGAGAAGGGAAAATTAACTTGATTGACAGTTAAAGCTGTAAAAGGTGTTTTTGGTAACTTGTTTACCAGAATTTGTCCTTAAATTGAAATATAATCTTCAGTATCTAAATCTGATTGTCACAACAATGGTCATGAAAATAATGAAAAACATGTTGGGTCAGTTTGGATACTTAAGGCCTTAAAAGACTGAGAGAAACAATTAGTTCACTAATCAGTAATTTTCATAGGAATTGCAATGAAAACTAAATCGAGTAAATGAACTTGAAAATATCAAAAATTAGTCTTGATTTAAAATTGTAATTAACTTGATTTAGCATCGGCATTCACCTTAGGCCAGTGAAGTGAAAATTGTATTAATTATCATTATAATGAGTTAATCTTTTTTTTCTCTCATTCTTATTGTCCTTTCACCTCAATACACTTTTACCTTAACTGAACATTTCATTATCACGTATGATTAACTCACCTACATGTTTCATGGTTACTTATTTAACTGATCATCTGAATTGAACTTGTCCTGGTGACCTTAACATGTTGAGGTCATAAATGGACGAAATCCTTTTCTCTCTTAAACGTCTTCACCTTACAATTATATTTTGTATTCTTGAAATGATAATAACATCTTTCTCATAATATAAATCTCAATTCACCTTTTCCTTAATCATGTTTATCAACTTTTCCACTGATCTTTTATATTTATTTATATAAATTTAATGCATTATAATTAATTTAATAATGCATCATTTAGGTTGGTTTATATAAAATTGCCAATCAGTTTCTTTATTGAAAACTGACTGATTTAATTGTTACATTCATTGTTTCCATTTTGATTGAGAGTTTACTTTTTTCTTCAAGTCAAAGGTTTAACCTTTGCATAATTAACTTGATTAAGTTAAGGTTAAAATCAAAAATGGTTGTAATTAGATTGGTAATGATTGTTAATGAAACAATTCTGGTCAACTTTTACAAGCTGTTATTGAGCTACTGCTTTTCATTTTGGATTATTGATTAGCAAAATAAGGTTTACTTTTACAAGGAAACAGTTAATTGTGAATGATTATGGTTAACTGTTCAATGAGAAAATTTTGATGACAACTTTAATGATAACCTAAGGCTGATTAACCTAAACTATGAATAAATTAACAATTTCATTAGTTCATCGACTTTAAATTTGTCAATCAACGAATGCGGATAAAGTCAATTTTTTCAAAAAATTTAGGTCTTCATTTAGGTATCAAAGAGCATTAGGAATTGAACGATTAAACCAATTGTGAATGTCTTTGGATTGATGGGATGTCGATCGTGGCAATTGTAAATTAATTGATTATTGTGATTTTCTGTTCATTGCGGGTAACATGATTATCAAAACCATCTCAGCTGCTAGTAAGGTCATCAAAGGTCAATAAGTAATGTGGTTAAAAGAGGAATTAATCAACCATTTTTCACGATCACTTTCCTTATTAGTTTGTAATCGATTAATGATTTGAATACAGTTTGAGCCGATTCTTTGTTTTAACCACCATATTGCATCTAATGTTGTTAATACATGATCCAAGTTGTGAACCTTAAGGAAAGAAAGAGAAAGTTACTTCAATTGTTATGGAAAAAATTATAAGACTTGAGAATTTATTATCGAAATTTATTCAGATAATAACTGAATAATGGATGATTTCACATTTCAACTTGTTGATTTCAACAGACATTCGGTAATACGATATGTTGAAGCTATTATTCAGTCTGTGAATAATTCAAAGTGTATGATCATCACCTAATTATTACAGTAACTCTTGCAGTTTTGAAAGGTCTGAAAATTTTAAGCTCAATTGCTGAATTAAAATTGTAAAATGAAAATCTCTTACAAATTATCCAAGTAACAATTGAAATTAATTGTTATGGACAATGTTGACTGGTTAGATTTACAGGCTCTTTCTGAATCAAGATCAAACTAGTTATTAAAACCATTTTAGTTGAGTCGTCTACATGCATTACCTGGAAAATGTTAGGGAAGAATGAATGGCTTGAAATGTGCGTGAATTTTTTCCAACAGATCATTAGAAAGACTTTGCTTTGATCGATGCCATGTTAATAGAGGGGTTGCTTTTGCTCTTGGAATGTTGTTGAGGTTTCGCTTGCTCTTGTGGTACTTTTTTTGTTATGTTGTTGAATTTAACACCAAAATAATGCGTAGATGTTGGTGAAACCAAGAGTCCAAGGAAAATGAATGTTAGATTTAGGTTGACCATGTTACGGGAAAATCTTTTCATTCAAATTATCATTTAATTCTTGTCTTTACTATGTATTTGTTATTCAGTGAGAAGAAGATGAAATTATTCTTGTTATTATCATGCGTCCATTATTGCGTCTGAAAACAAAATATAAAGAGAAAAGAAAGAAAAAGTTAGTAAATGATATTTCGTGATTTTGCATGTGAATCTATCTTTTAAAGCTTCAAGAATTATTTTTTGATACCTGCTGTAATGGACGTACCGTTTGATGAAGCTTTTCTGAGTAGATTAGAGAGAAATAAAAATTTTTTATGATACAAAGATGGCGTACAACAGGGGGAAGAGAAAAGCATATTTTGAATGAAATGAAAAGACTATTTCATGATGAAAATAACTCAAGCTAATAGAGCCAACTAATATCATACTTTGTCGGATATATGTCAAATATTATCACTGATCTTTCAGGATTTTCCCGTTTAAACTCATCTTCTCAGGAAGATGATACATTGCAGAATTCACTTTTGCTTTTCTCATTTTACCATCACTTTCTTGTGAATCAATAAATTGAGATTCATGACAATCAAAATTACCATAAATCCCTGACAATATATAAATTTGATTGGATGATTAAGGCCACCAAGGTGTAATTACAATTTGAGTTGTACACTGTGAGACGTTAACCTAAAAATCACACCACAAGCAACATCAGATTTGTATCTTGATCTATGACAAGTACAATCCGATCAGCGATGTCAACTCGCACAGCAAAATTTCTACCATGCCATTTCTCTAGGTCATCTGAGGGAATCTGTACTGTCCTGGTGCTTGATCCAAAATCCACGGAAGTTGAAAAGAGATTTTCATGTTTATCTAATCCATGTTAGTGAGTGAAGCCACTAAAGGAAACACAAAAGAAAGATTGTCCATTAGATTGATGCACTACAATTATGTAACGGATGAAGACTTAAGCTGTTAAATATACTATTCCTGATAAAAAAAATTGAGCCAATCTTTGGTCAGAACAGAAGCCAAACCTTTTGACGTCAATCAAATTCAATAATAATTTAATAAGTGATGAGAAAAGAGTAAATTGTTGTATAAATACGACACCATACTGTATACTTACTTGTTGAAAAAGATGAAAAATTTTCTAGTTGATGATGATTAACAGTTTATAGAGAAAGTACACAAAACAAGATGGACAATTGAAGGGTTTCCAATTTAGACACCGAAGTCAGTCGATTGAGTCAGTCAGTCAGTCGATTGAAAGCCAACTGAGCGCCAGTCGGTTGAGCTACCGACTACAATTATGTAACGGATGAAGACTTAAGCTGTTAAATATACTATTCCTGATAGTAAAAAATTGAGCCAATCTTTGGTCAGAACAGAAGCCAAACCTTTTGACGTCAATCAAATTCAATAATAATTTAATAAGTGATGAGAAAAGAGTAAATTGTTGTATAAATACGACACCATACTGTATACTTACTTGTTGAAAAAGATGAAAAATTTTCTAGTTGATGATGATTAACAGTTTATAGAGAAAGTACACAAAACTGACTGGCTTCGGTGTCTATTCCAATTCACCAAAAAGAGGAAAAACTTCAAGAAAAAATACAGAACATACAAGTTATCATAAGTTGTATGTTATGTAGATAGTACAAGCCAATTTAATTAAATTAGTCAATATTAGGAACAAATAAGAAAAAATAGCTTAATATTATTCAAAGGCAAGCTTTAGATGAAAATTGAAATCAGCTTTTCTAAGGTAACAACCGTTGTTATTTGATATCCTTGGTTTCCAAATAACAAAAGTGAATCATAATTTAAAAAAGGGTTACAAACAAAGAGTAAAGTAGAAGAGATAGCAATCCATAAGACAAATTATAAGTTAAACTTAGGCCAAAATGGAGGTCGCTTGATACAATAATTAAAGAAAATTACATAAAAATTAAGAAATGATTAAAAAAATTGCGCTAAAAAATCGATTGTCAATAACTAATTGTAAAGCATTCAACAGAGTCATCCTGTGGGCATAAGTTTAAACTTTCAATTTGTCTTATGGATTCTATCTCTTACTCTTTGGTTACAAATCTATACTTTTTGTTAATGATGAACAATTTTAATCCTGGTTTTGTTAAAACTTTGAGCTCTATTTAGTCAGTTTTGCATTGTAAGATAATTGTCGCATGTATCTTTTAAATCAAGACGTTTGTTTCAGATAAATAAAGTCCAAGTAAAGTCCATCGGCGATCTCCATTTGAAATCGTCTGATATCGTTTGTTCAACGCTGTTGTGTTTTTCATGCAAGTTTTAAATCTGCTTGTAACAATTGTGTTTAAGTTGGTTATGTCCAATATTTTGCTATAATGACCGTCAATGATGCCTGGTTGAGCTTTGAGATTGTTTGATGTCTAATGCAATGTTCCCTATACTGATTACATATCCAATTGTTGGTGTTACACTTCCTATGTATATTATTCCAACAATTGTTTACAATGAAATTTGCATAATACTAATTTATTTTCTTGTGCCTTTTCTTACATTACAGGAAATGTGACTACCTTAAATAGCCCTAGCGTTGGTGATTACAATTGTCTCATTAATTTGCCCAGTTTCGATCTACTTCGAGGATCATGTTTGGATCTTGATGGCCACGGAAGTAGTCCATCATCATCAGGAAGCGGTAAATTACATAATTTCAATTTTGTATTTTAGTGGAAATCAAAACTCTGTCTATTCTGACTACTCGTCTATTGCTTTTGCTCAAAATTGAAATTGTTTATGCTAATTTTGTTCATTTTCTAATTTTTACATGTTTACTTTCTTGAACTCAACTTGTTTGGGATTTTGAAACGACAAATTTTCCAACGAAACTCTGGAATGACTTGAATCAATCACATCACAATTCAATCACAGAATCTGACAGAGAATCAACAAGCAGCTCCATGACTACCGTAAATGAGAGACAATCGGCACATTTATTAGCAGCTGTTGAAAACACTGATCCTAACTTGGTTGCAGCCATTCCTAGCCATACCATTATTGACCCAGTTACCGGCTTACCTGGTAAAACATTACCTTCTCTCACCACACCATTACCTGTTCCTGTGAAAAAAGTTGGAAGAAGGGGAAGACCGCCTAAAAAAGATGCTAAATCAAGAAATAGACAAGGTGATTTATTGTCAAAATTCATTGTCAAATAGGAATTATTTGTGCTAATTGGACTTTTTCCAATTTGTTTTATCTACCAAACAGGTAAAGGAAATGGAAAACTCTGGGAATTTATCCGAGACCTTCTCCTGGATCCTGCTACCAACCCTAGTTTAATAAGATGGGAAAGACGAGAAGATGGAGTATTCAAATTTGTCCAATCAGACAAAGTGGCCAAACTTTGGGGTCAAAGAAAGCAAAATCCTCGAATGACATACGAAAAACTGAGTCGAGCTATGAGGTAATTAATATTTCCAGTAACAAATATCTATAAATCTTGTTGCTCATAATTTGTGTTTACTTTCATCATCTACAGGTATTACTACAAAAGTCAAGTGCTGTTACCTGTTTTTGGCCGACGTTTGGTTTATAAATTTGGTCCAAATGCAACAGGCTGGAGGGCACACCCTATTGGATTGATATAAGATTTTGGAATCTTACCAAATGAAACCATGATAACATCCAAACAAGATCTACATTTTAAATTGATTTAATGTAGTTTTCTTTTCCCTTTTTTCTTATTGTTTTTCTTTCCTTGCTTTCTTATTCACCACACAATCTATTTCTATCTTTCTTTTTCTCCACCGAACTCTTACATATACTTTTCCACATGGATTTTTTTCATCATCCAAATCAAAGGCCACAATTTGAAATCAACCATTTGCAGGCTTTCATGATTAAAACCGAAGGACCTAACCTTGTCACCATTCAAAAATCTAATCAAAAGAAAATTGGACAGTAATTTGAGGTCGACTTTAATCCAGGACTGATTAATATTCAATCAAATTACAATAAACAACCTGAGCTGAAATGTTTTTCAGATCAAAAACTGGAGGTTATTAGATAGAAGTCATCAATCAAAGGCAATCAAGTCACAGCGCACAAAGCTCAAGAAAGTAAAGATGGAAATACAATTTGTGTGCCAATATAAAGCTCAATTCACCCGATTTCACATTCAATTAAGATACAATTGGAAGTGAAATATATCATTGTGATTATGCCATTATTGTCTCAACCTTCGTTTGTTTGTCTCTCGCCTTCCTTGGTAGTTAGTCAATTATTCACATTGGACGAGACCAAACAATACAACCAATCTTTCAACCACTAAGCCAATTGATCATCGATAATCCTAATTACAAAATTTCACATCATCTTCATCTCACTCATTTTCACTCATCCAAACTCCATCCAGTTGAATTAAATACAATTTTGTCAACAATCATATCAAAGTTTGCCCGAAATGTTACAAATGAGTAATGGGAATGGCAGAATTTCCATGAAACAATCTTTTATGTACAACTAAACAATAACAAGTGACCAGTTAATGTTGAAATAATTTAAATGATTTATCCATTGTTCTGCTGTTCGCTCGTCAATAATTTACTGGAGGCCAAAAACAACTGTAAATAGACGTCATCACCCATGGATCCAATTGATCATTTTTGGTCCCAGAAATCATCATCAAGCTCATTGTCCCATAAACTTTTTATTCAAGTCAAAAACATTTCAAATGAACAAAATTTGAAACAATCTACTGTTTTCCAAAACTCTTTCACCATATCATTGTTTTGTAGATAATTTTAGTTCATTCCCAGATCTTATTTCATATTATTATATATCTCTTGTTAATTCATTTTGAAATAAGTAATTCCATGGGGAAAAAGTTACTTACCCTGTCATGTCAACTCGATATCGATTTGTTCAATTGCCTAATTTCTGGCTAACCGGCAATCAGTCCATCAATACATTTGGAACCAGAATTACCCATTTACCTTGCCTTGGTATTACTGCATTTCTGTCCATTATTGTTGATATTTTTTTAATCTTCCCAAACCATTTCCATCTGTTCATTTTTTAAAGTGATCTTAATGATTACCAATTGAATATCACTGAGTTGCCTATCAATCTTGATTGTAATGATCCGATAATAACATTATCGGTTAATCGTTGATCAATTTTATTCCCTTGTCTCATCAAGAAACAGAATAAATCTCAAGTTTGTCTCCCAATTACATTGTTATTGAATTAAGACAAAGAGACTGAAATATGATTCAAATTATTATCATTGTATTATCATGACTATTTTATTCTCTTCTCTTGATTCTGTCTTTTTCACTTTATTTTTCATCAAATCAACTGATGTTAATTGTTTACCATTTCCTTTTAATGAATAATGATTGTTTTACTTTTATCCTTTATTGATGATCAAATTTTTATATATTATACAAAGATGTACAAGTATAAAATATAAAAAGAATATGTATAATTTGACACAAGAGATAATGTTATACCCATTATATCTCACCTGTTTTACGTATTAATATTATTATAATTATTTTGGGTTCTCAAGTTTACAGACAAATAAAAGACACACCATTTCATTTTATTATCAATAAAGATGATTAAAAGTAATTTGAGTTTCCATTCGTAAACATTGTACTCATTTAAATACAAAACAAACAATTAACAGCAAATAACATAATTTAGGCGAGTAGAACAATCAAGAGACAATTACAAAGCACTAAAAAAATCCAACTTGCTCTCAATTGAAACAAATTCAATGTCAATTAACATGGAAGCAAAAAATATCGATAATGACATTTGCTATCAAAAATAAACGTAAATCTAGATATAAAAGTAAAGCTTAGAAAAGCGTATTTATGCGAATAATTAGTTTTAAAAAATTAACTCAAGCCAATGAGTGCCTATTATGATAGTCGATTGTCCAAAATGTCCGAAAAATTTAATTAAATAGTAAATAAGTAAATAATAAAAAGTGTATAAGTAAATTAGACCAAAAGGTTTAGTTAGCAGAGCGTGGTTTCGATCCACGGACCTCTGGGTTATGGGCCCAGCACGCTTCCGCTGCGCCACTCTGCTTCTAATACTACTTTTTGCTATATTTTGTTATTTAAACATTGGACTAATATTAAAATAATTAAATTGAATTTTGAAGAGCAATTAAGTGGATTAGGACTATTTTAATTAATCTTTGAGTCTGAATGCTTTTTATTTGTTGTGTATTTTTGGTAAAATTAAATTATTTTTTCTTTTGCCCTTGATTTGTCATTGGTCATTATCTTAGGCTTGGTTGATTTATTGATGACTTGTATGTCGTTAATAGAATTTATTTGATCGTTTAATTTGACTTAATCGAATAATTTATTGAATTAAATTGATAAATTGGTCTGTATTTTGGTGTTCAAAGACTGAGTTAAATTAGTATATGGTCCCGGTAAGTCAACTGTACAGTTTGTGTTTACATTTGCGTTGTTTGGAAAATCTTGTGATTGTTTTGTTTATAATTAAGCTTGCCTCTTTTTTTGGTTTCCAATCAGTTGATTTTTTGGTTACTGAACTTTATTATCTAAGGTGCAATCTTGGCTATTGTGGCTGGTAGTTGTTGGGAAACCGATTAAAAGAAATTCAGGATGTTAACCACAGTCACTCGACCTTCAATTTTGTTACCTTTCCGTAATGGGCTGATGTCTTCAGTTGGAATGGTAAATCCTATGTCGGATGTTTCCTCTCGTAAGCTCACTACAACTAATACCTTGATGAATTATAAGTACGTTCATGATGTCGATCAACCATTTTGGGAGGATAAATTCAGATCCGAAGGAACTCGTACTATGCTTGGAGATTTTATATCAGCTGGGTTCACCTTACTTGGTGCATTTTTCAGAGAATCGTGTACTATAAATTATCCTTTTGAAAAAGGTCCTCTTAGCCCTAGATTCAGGGGTGAACATGCATTAAGAAGGTATCCTTCTGGTGAAGAAAGGTGTATTGCCTGTAAATTATGTGAAGCAATTTGTCCAGCCCAAGCAATCACTATTGAAGCTGAGGAGAGACCTGATGGTAGTCGGCGAACAACTCGTTATGACATAGATATGACTAAATGTATTTATTGTGGTTTTTGTCAAGAAGCTTGCCCGGTCGATGCGATTGTAGAAGGTCCCAACTTTGAATATGCTACGGAAACCCATGAAGAATTATTGTACAACAAGGAAAAATTATTGAACAATGGTGATCAATGGGAACCTGAGATTGCAGCAAACATTCAAGCTGATCATTTATACAGATAATTCTATAAAAGTGTTATAATTGTAAAGAAATTTCAAACGAAATGATTAAGATTATTAGTTCATATCTAATATGTTAAATAACCATAGGGTTCCAATAAAATTGATTATCAGATCTATCTTATATTGAGATCTATCTCACTTCATTAACATTCATCATGATGTTTGAATAGATATTTTGTTTTGACAATTTTGAATCTGAAAATTATTGTCTTTATTTCGACCACCGAATTGATTATGGATTACATACAAAAAATTACGGTAAAAGTGATAGTGATATTAATTGCCATGAGAAAATGCGTGGATTGCTTTGGCACATTTGGATTGAGTATCATCAATTTGGTTTGAATTAAGCTGATTGAATTAATATTATTGAGCTAATTTCAGTAACTGGTAATGAAATTCTTTATAAAGTTTACAATACAGAATGTGGTATGACTCTTTGAGTTGTGATGTACATAATTTCATTTATAATTGGTGATTGACGATTATGAGTGACACCAGAATTCAAGACCGGGTGTGAAGATGTGTAAAGGAGTCTGGGTTTAAGCTAAATTTTTAATCGCAGGACTCAGGTCATTGAAAAAAGCATGAGACATTGCTTCCTCAGCGGATAAACGATGAGATGGATTACAAACTAATAATTTTTGTAGTAAATCACGACCCTTAGAATTCAGCTTTGGAACAACCGATGAAAAGCTGGTGGTTGGATGATACATTGGGAATGGTTTATAGTCTGGAAGAGTAGCAACACCGGGCCAAGTTTCTTCTGTTGGAGTACCAAGAAGCTAATAAAGATAATATGATATTAGAATTATTAATCTTATAGATCATGAACTATAATAATATTACCTTAAATATTCTTTTCAGCTGATCTTCCACATCTGAACCAGGAAATAAAGGCCGTCCAGCATTAGCCAATTCAGCAAAAATACAGCCTGCTGACCACATATCGATAGAGGTTGTATATAATTTGGCTCCAAAAAGGACATCAGGGGGACGATACCAAAGAGTAACTACCTCAGCTGAGTAACATCTTACTGGAATACCAAAAGCCCGAGCTAAGCCAAAATCCGCTAACTTAAGTTCACCATTTTTATTGATTAACAAATTTTGAGGTTTCAAGTCTCTGTGAAGGACATTGTTCTTGTGACAAAACTCCAGGCCTCGAAGAAGTTGATAGAAAAATGATTTAACCACGTCAGGGTCAATTTCTCCATTGAGACTATCAAAATATTTTTTCAAGTCTTGGTCACAATGTTCAAAGACGAGGGTCAACTTTTTTTCACTATGAAGCACATCACATAATCTGTAAAAAGAGATATTTTACCATTATAAATATATTTGCTTAGCAACTGGATGATTGACAATCAATCAGTTAACAAGCATGACATAACAGGTTATTAAAATTAATGATGTAACTGAATGATTTGGCTTTATAGACTTACCTCACAATATTACGATGTCGAAGCTCCTTGAGTAAGCATATCTCACGAAGTGCTGAGCTTGGGACACCTTCATCATCATCATCTAATCTAACCCGTTTTAAGGCAACAATCTCCTGGGTTTCACGATTTTTACCTTTGAATACGGTTCCATAGGTACCTTCACCAATTTTTTCCAATTTCTCGTACTTCTGCATCAATGGTAGCAATGAACAGTATAATGTCAAAATGAAATTGAAACAATAACAGACAAAACAAAACAATGATAGGAAGGAGACACTTGACTATAAAAAATTATAATCTACCGATATTACTATACTTTAAAAGTAAATATTGATATAATTTGGGGTAACACTGTTTATTGAAAATATATGCAAATTGATTTAATTTATTAATGGATTTACTGATAAAGATAGAATGTAATGAAAAGGCAAGTTGATTTTTCAATGTTTAGAAATATTTTATTGACAGAGTAGAATATGTATAAAGATGAAAGACAATTCTTTTGAGCATTTTCTAGTCTCTCTTACTAATGCTTCTCTTTCTCTCTCATTCTCTTCATTTGCTCTTTCTCATGATTCCTGATAATTTTACACAATTTAGGAAATCGGCTGAACATTATAATATCTTTATTTTATGTCCACTTGAAACTCGATTAATTGTTTTAAGTTTAATATTAATACTTGTTAGATGGCAGCATTCAAAAATATCTAATTAACCACTTTAAAGTGGCAAGTTGCTTTTAAACAATCCAATTGTTGAAAATCATCCTTTCATAGACCGTAGCCAGCCAAACGAATGACGAATGGCGGATGCTTAACAGAATTAGCTGATATTCGCAAAAATCTCAAAAGTTGTGTACAACCACTTGTGTATCAGCAAATAATTGTGTTTTATAGCAATATGACTCAGAAATTGAATCACTTTTAGAAATATTCATTCATGAACACCGTCTTTTTCTTCAAGATAACTAAGCAAAGATAAGCTCGAAAAGGAAAAAGTCAGTTTGCCTTATCAGGATCCTTGGATAACTACACTTACGATTGTTCTCGACTGGAATTGTCTAGGTGCTTGTACAGGAATTTTGACCGGATTTCGAGCCGACTGAGTCGGTGAAAATTGCTTCAGCTTAGCTTCAAAAACAGTGACAAATAAGCTGATATATTCGACTGGCTGCTTCTCTAATCCTTAATGTTAAAAGGCTTTTCTTGTTATTTGTGTTATCCAAGTTACGATAATATTTAAAGTAGCAATTTACTGCATTTTTATTTTGTGATTTGCCATAAACTTTAACATGGATAAGAAATCGAAAAAAGGCGGACCAAAAAAGCCTGATGTGCCTGATCGTCCTGATCGCGAGTCTCAAGATTTGCGAGAATCCCAAAATCCACAAAATTTACCCGAAGGGACGCCAATTCTGAATATAGGAAGAGCTGATCTCGATCCATTTGCTGGTGAAGCTGGAACTGGGATGATTTTTGATCCAAATGATCCTCGACATTTCACTATACCAAACGTTCCTGGTGGACCTCCTAATTTCAGACCACCGCCTTCCGGTATGGTTCATCCACCACCTCCGGGTGCACGTTTCGACCCATTCGGTCCTGGTGGTAATCCTGGACGTGCCTTTAGAGGTCCCAGGCCTGGACCCACACCCGGTCCTGGACAGGGTTCACCTGATCCTGATCATATGAGATCTTGGAATTATGATGGTTCACCGATGTAAAGCAGGCGCTATCCAATATTATTTTTCCAATTTGTTACATTTTTCAAGAGCAATTGTCATTCCCCTAAAACACTGTAAATTTAACTTGAAAAATTTCAGTCATTTTGTGTTTATTTTTATCACACACTCGTCCGATTTTATCGATATAAACTTGATTTCAATAATAGATAGTGTTTAATTGCTTTAATATTATTAATATTGTCATAATTATTATAATTAATATTAACATTATTCTTTTGGCCGAACTAAGGAAGCATTATCTTACGATGGTTCACAGTCGAAGTAAACAATTTATTACATAAATAATAACTCAACTTGTATCACCATTTCGTAAATCTTAAAGGATTTGCTTTAAAGATCCACTTTTACATGATCTTCTTGTCTAATGTTTTCCTTTTTACACAGTTGCTTTTCACGGTTTGTTTTTTTTGTGGTTTCTAGATCGACAAATAAAGGAGCCCAAAAAAGGTTGTTATTTTTGTTGATACTGATGCTGATGGTGATGAGTGTCAATGAAGATGATGAATTTGTCCAAGCCAAAAATCATTTTTTGTTATCTTCCTCGTAGACAGATTCCAACCACGGCGTGATATTAACCTCTTTTTCATCGAAATATTTTATATAATCGCTAGCCTGAGAAGAGAAGAAAAATGTGAATTATTTCATGCGAGAATTTGAAAAGGTAATGACGTAAGGAAAGTTCGTAATTTTGTTGCATCTTTTCTATTGGAAAATATCTACTATAGATTCAAATAACAATAAGAATAGAAATCAAATCATGTTACTTACCAATAACTCCTTATATTTTGGCCTTTCTTTGAAGTTTTTAATCAAACTGTAAAAAAATAGCAAAGTAAAATTAATATTAAAATGTCTTTTACTGAAAATACCAGATAATTACCATGAGTTAATAAATTGTCGTAATTGTGGCATAAAATCACCATCCTCGGGTAATCTGGGTGGTGGAGCAGTCATTACTTTGGTGAGTACTTCAAAATCAGTTTGGCATCCTGGATATGGATTTTCCCCAGTTGCAAGCTCTAATAAAGTTATACCAAGACTCCAAATATCGGCTCTTACATCGTAAGATGGTTCTGGAGGCTCAATTCTTTCAGGCTTTAAGGAACAAGAAAAAATGACAGTTTATAATTCATGTCTAAATTTAGCTAATCAATTGATATATAGTATATATTGATTTTTCAATACTCACCGCCATATACGCTGCGCAACCGGCTTGTCTCGTTCTAGCCTTAGAGTTTACCAGTTTGCCACTGATACCAAAGTCACATAATTTGACTTCTCCTTTCATGTTTATCAAAATATTGGAGGGCTTAACGTCACGATGAATTACATCATGTTTCTCTTTCAAATAATCCAAGGCCTTAACAGTCTTTTGGAGAAGAAATAGAAAAAAATGAAACCAACCGTTGATATATCAATAATAATCTATTCAACTTACGGCTACAGCAACTTTACCCAGAACATCTTGTGGAATACCCTTTTTCTTTTTCTTAGAATTTGTTTCATTAGTCTGGGGGTTCAACTTCTTGAGAAGCTTTTCAAAACAGGTAGTCATTCTCTCCATACAAATCCAAACTTCTGAGTTGCATATCAAATAACCATAGCACTGGACAATATATTTACATGATGAACATTTTAAAAGAACATCTAAATCCATAGCTATACGCTTTGTCTCTTCATCATTGCCGCTTCGTCGCATTTGCTGTAAAAGGTAGAAAGAAAAATTTAGTAAAAAATTAGGAATGGAAAAATGATTGAAATGTTGTTATCAAACATTGATTAGAGTGCTTATCAAGAATAAAAGTGTTAATAGTTAATACTCTAGTTTGGTAAGTGCGAAAGATATGTGAGTGATGTTGATGGGACTAAGGAAAACAGCGTTATAAAGCAAAATCGAAATCTGCATTTAATAAAATTATTCAATAAAATAGTTCGATTGAATAAGGGTCCGGGATCAATTTACTCCAATGTTGAACGAATTATCACCTCTTTATCTCACTAGCTACGTTGAAGTTGAATGCCTTAAATATCTTCTCTAATAATCAACCTGATTGAGAGTTGTAAACAAGAGTAGCTAGAAAACTGATAGAAAGAAATATGCTCTATCATTTGCTACCAACTTACTTTGACTGCGACGGTTATTCCTGATTCTTTGTGTTTCATTTCGGTAACTTGGCCACAAGAGCCAAAACCAAGATCACAGATAAATTCCAGGTCCTCCATTTCACATTTGTATGTCTAGGGAAACGAGAAAAAAACAAAATCATTTAGTATTTAATTTAGTGAAGTAATTGAGCAAGAGAAGAATGATTCTCTTTAGTTGTGAGCTATCTATGCTCATATACTGATTAGGAGTAAAAGATGAACACCAACACTTTGACACTTACCTTTCCATTAACTTGGAGAGTACAATTTCTTGTGAATCTATCACTTAAATTTGGTTTATTTTCGGATCCAGATGAAGCAGAAATGTTCAACGGAGTGGAAGGATCACTTGTGAACAGAAGAGGTTTAGGCTGTTTCATTGGTCTACCTGACGGTGAGCTGGTTCTACCTGAGGCTCTACCATTAGCACCAAAATAATTGGAGTCAATTGGTAAGGCCCGAGGCCGAGGTCGAGGACTTAAACAGTGAGCAGCCATATAAGTATCATTTTCAAGTCTATGGCACTCATTTTCTTTTCTTACTTGTAAATCTAATCTCATTAATTTCTGAGAGACTGATTTAAGCGATTGCATTTTTATGTATTTATGTATATAAATGTATTATTTAACACAAATGAGAAAACACTATGAAGGTAGAGCACAGGGAGAGAATGTAGGAGACAGGGGAGAATGAAATGAATGATGAATAGAGAGAAATAATTGAAAAAAAATAAAAAAGAATGAGAGAGAAATGAGATGAATTAGGGGATGGAAATAAAGAGAGTGATAAAGAAAGGAGAGAGAGAAGACAAGGTTTCAATGTTGAGGTTCAATCTTTTTCAGTCTCGTTCAATGTAACACTTGTTGAAATGATTGGGTTGATTAAAGAATCACAATTTAGTTATAATGGCGCACTAACTGACTTATTATAGATGAAAAAATCAGTCCACTGAATTAAAAAGAAAACTAATTATTTAAATAACTTAATATGAGATGAGACAGGTAAATTGGTTTATTTTACATCCAATCGAGATTTCTAGCATCAACCAAAACAAAACAAGATACCAAATGAAAGGCAATTTTGTGAGTGAAACAGTGAGAAAGACTCACTGGTTTTGCGCGCCTTTTAAACCTCAATTGACATTTTCCAAAACTAAACAGATTAAAGGTTGTCTTTCAAACGGTTTAACTCTGTTCATTTGTATTAAAACAAACGATTTATTTAATTTTTTTGAATATTTAAATTGCTATGAGGGTGAAATTGAAGTCACTTCAAGAATATAAGCCATAACTAGAAAAAATTATAATCAATTTAGCATAAACAGTTTGGTAATTTTATTTATTGTATATAATAAGAGAGGATATTAGGACGTCAGTTATCAACAAATGAAATTATAATGAATAATAAGAAATGAAAATATTATTTGTAATCTGAAGTTAAACTTGGGAAAATATTAGGCTTGCATTTTGACTCACAGTGTGAATTTAAACAATCATTTCATTAATCTCTTTGAGAAGTTTTTTGGCGTAATCGATCAAATTGATCGGAGCCACTGATATCAGGTTACATCGTGTTCGGGTTTCCTCTTTGAAATTATCCATTTTGGTTCGGAGACGGAATTGGAAAGTTTTGAAATTCAAAGAGCCAATAGTTTCCTCAAATTCTTCCTCGTTCTGATCTTTCATATCAGCTAAGTCTTTAGCATTCTTTCCTATGAGTTTTTCAGCTTCTTCGTGGAAAGCTGTTACCCAAACAGAATTAGTGGAATCAGAAATGCAAAAGTTCAAGATCATTCGATGATCGCCTTGCATAACATCCTTATTACATTTATCACATTTATAAAATCCATTATTCATCTCGATCAATTTCTTTTTACATCCATCAGGGCAGGCCATATAGATCTGTGCTTTTCCAGTTTGGGTCACAGTTGCCTTGCAAGTCGTAACTAGTGTAGCGTTAATAGCCGAAATTACATTTTCTTTAGAAATAGAATTTAGATATTGGCTCTCTCCTGAGTTCAAATCACCGGCACCTGACTTGACAGATAATAGATTTGGTTCAATGTTAGCTCCACGACGCTGAAACCATCCACGAAGTTCTTGCGCTTCAGGTAGATCAGGATCGACTTGAATAAGAGTTGATCCAATGGTTGACAAGCTCTTTCCAGCATAATCGGTTAAACGAGCTTTCTTGGCGACAACAACAGAGCCAGTATTAGCACTGAAATTTTCAGCATCAGTGTTCCATATGGTAAGGCGGATTTCAGTCTCTGAATCATCAACCAGAGAAATATCTCTTTTTTTCAATTCTTTGCCCGAATTTTTAGACATTATTGTAGCTACCTCACCAGGGTCTCTACAAACACCAACAATATCAACTACTGAGTTGGCGGGGACTGATTCAAGTTGCCCGATTTTAACGAAATGGAAGTTGATTTGTGGACAGCTCGTATCATAATCATCAGCGGGCTCTAAGATACTATCGGTATGTAGAGTCAATTCATACTCATGCTCAACATCAGTCCATTTCTTGTTGGCCTGTTTAACTGTGGCTTTTGACAAAGTGTAAACTTTGCCCAATTGTACCATTTCAAAATATTTATCGCATTCTGTACGGAATGCGGTTATTCTTATCTCCCCAGATTCATCAGCTAAATTGAAAGAAAACAATGTGCCTTCGCCTTTGGCATTATTCCAACTTTTGAGAGCACTTTTATTGGTGACTCGTCCACGGATAGCCCACTTGTTTTGATAAGGACTAATCTGAGAAATAGGACAGATTTGCTCTTCTTTAATCGAGTAATCACTCATACTATGATCAGCTTGCTTGGAGCCATTATAAGGTTTAGCAATAGCTGCTCCTGATTTAAAACCACCTTTGAATCCACCATTTGTTGAGGCATCTGATGTGGATGAAACAGAATGGACACCAGTAGACAAAGTAGAAGAAATGCTTGTATCATTTGAGGAGCCTTCGAACGGCGTTGGGTTACCAATTTTACGACCAATACTAGCTCCAGGGACTACGACCTCAGGTTCAGTTAGAATGATGACCTTCTTAGTTCCACCGGCTTGATTACATAGATATTTGTTTAATCTGATGACAGTGTATCTTTCAAACTCACCAGCTTCAACTCTTTGAATTAAAGGTCCAATCATGATACAACATTGATAAGAATATTTACCATCTGAAAGTAAGAACCGGTACCTTTGGACATTATCAGCGGATACATTTTTTTGAGCCAAAATCTGAACAGTTGGGCGCTCAGTTGCACTGCCAGATAAAATTCGCTCAAGAGCACCTTCAGATAATCTGGGGACAGTCATAGTTGAAAACAAAAACACAAAGAAAAAGAAAAGATAATGTTATTGAGGTGAGAAAGGTAAAATAACAGTAGAGAAAAAAGGAAAACTGATCGTCACAAAGAAATGGATAAAGTGACAATTCAAGTAATCACTATATTTAGCCAATTGAGGTAGTTACTTGTTTAACTATCAAATAGGTTAAAGAAAAAATTATTCAAAATCAATCAAATGAACTAAAAGTGAAATTGCAACTAAAAGAAAATGATGAAATCCAACAATAAGGCGAAGAGTCTTTATACTCACTCAGACATTTGAGCGCGTACTTTGAGGCTTATCTCCGCCCAAAAAGAATATTGCGCGAATCACATGGCGTAATAAACTATCATTGTAAATATTCAGCTATTAATAACTTATCTTGTATTGAATGATATGGAATATGAATGGTACCTACGGAAACCGAATCTAAAACTGCATGAGCTTTTATATTTATCTATCTAATTTGCCTGTAGCCTGAACAAACCTAAACCATAATTAATCAACAATCTTTTGAGATAAAATTGATTTTAAACTCATCTTGATCAATAGATTTAGCTTTTGATCTTGATTTAGATCAACCTAGGAATATACGTTACTGAGAGTAATGACTCTTTTTAGCTACGTAAAAGATTGGTTATTTTAAATTGATTTTCATCTGATGAAATAGATTGCAGGAATTTGAATGGACTATTAATTGCTATCGTAAGACTACTATTCACAATGATACTTAAAGACTTATTGATAGGTATGAGAAACTTTGAAACCTAACATTGAATAAAACTTGAAAAGAGTAGATTATTTTCGTTAATTTTATTTTTCTTTATTTAAGAGACTTCAAAGCATAATAATTTACAAATTAATAAATTATCAGATACTATTTTTTACAAATATAAATATAAAAACCCGTTTGTTTGTATTCATCCGAATTTTTGCTCATTTTTTCAGTAATGGAAATTTAAATAGACTAAAAATGATTCATTTTAGATTAAATAAAATTATCTTGTAAATGATGGTTTGCTGAACGAGTAATATTAATCTTCTTGATCATCGTACGATTCATCATCATTTTCGAGTTTCAATTTTTTTACTCTTCCATTGTTTTGGTGCTTTTGGCTGAATCTGCTCTTCTCAGGCCTTTTAACTTCTGATTCATGTTCCTCTTCACCGCCACCAAAATGTTTCTTATGGATCTTTCGGAAGCGACTCATGTCTCAAAAGAAAAAGAAATAAACATTAGTTGAAATGGAAATCAGTAAATGAAAATTCTCAAGTCATAAACTTGAATAATTCTTAATATAAAGATGATCATTTGGTGATGACCAAGAAAGTGTAAAATGTATCACTTTACTTACCACCAATGTTGACTCTAGAATTTCCTATTGCTTTTTTGCTCCTCTGAAGTTGGGTATAATTTTTCCTACGCCGATGAGCATAATCATTAATCTGGTGTCGCTGATGTTCCCGACTATCTTGGTTACTTGAAGAGTAATGATCACCATCGTCTTCAGCGTCATCATTACCTTTACTGGGTTTATCCTGCTTACCAAAATACCAAGCTCGTTCCCGACCATTTCCAGTTTCTCCAGACTCTTCATACCTTTCACCATCCTCAAATTCATAACGTCCATGTCTTTTTCGGCCAAATACCACCTGTCCTTCACCTCCAGCTAACTTGGATCTTTTCTGATGAGCCAGACGATTCTCTTTTTCCTGTACATCTCGGTGGTTACTTGAGCCTCCATAGGTGTTGTGTGAAGACGTTGAATACTGTCCATTGGAACCATCACCAAAATCACGTTTCTTGTCCTTACTTGATCCACTGGAACCATCACCTTCATCACCGAAATCACCTTCTATCTTCGGCAGAGGGCCATTTAAGACAGCATCACTATAACCAGCAGAAACCTTGTAGCTTGTTAGGTGTAGATTCAAAATGCAACAAACTGCTAATGTAAACCTCATGCTCATCTATCTCAACTGTTTTCTCAACTAGTACTCCAACACTGATTGTAGACGCATTTTATTGGTATCGCCATTCAGGTCACTTAACATAACACTTGTTGTTTTACTAATTGTATAATCCATCCAGGTCACATGGTTACAATTTGATTGTCATTTTTTCAATTGTTTCGCGTCTTCTCTTACATTACAGTCATTCTCATTGTCTGCTTCTTTTTGGCTAACCTTTGTTTTGTTTTTTTTATTTATCGTTAATTATGCTCTAAAATGTTCGTTTCTGTCGGATGCGCACCATATTCATTTCAAAAAAATCACAATCACCTCAATCTTTTGATGGTCATTGAGAAATTAAGTGAAATTAGGATTGATTGGCGCTGATTCCTCGACTAATTGTTCATATGTAACTAGCTGTGAGAAAACTCTTTTTTTCTTTACCTTCACAATTTCATTCGTGAGTCTCATTTATAACAGGCTATTGATTTGATTACATTCCGAAATATGCTTGATCTTGTACAACCCAATAGTTTTTTATTCATAAATTAGTTCAAACTTTCTTTACCGTTTTTCGATGATCCGTTTCCAATCATTCCAACAGTCTGTTTCATCTTCTTGAACACATTCTAGAAGGAAAATCCATAAACATCTATTAGATTACAAAACTTAATGCATTTCATCTTTTGGTAATTAGAATAAAGTTTATTGGGATAAACAATTGGCCACTCACATGAATTTTACATGAATTGAACTCAAATCCGGAAAATTCAAATTGCGCGTCCAATTTTCATTGGTTACCTACGTTTCAAGCCTTGGTAACTCCCAGTCTTGTCACAACTTGAAGTCTTCATGAAACAAGTTAATTGATGTGGATTTAATTATAATTTTAAAGCTATTTATTTTCAATCATTATTAAATTATTCCTTGATTAGTTTTACAATCAGTTACTAATATTCGAATTGCAATGTCTTCTACAGTAATAAGCAATGATCCTAGACGACCTGATAAAATTGTAAAGTAAGTTATTTCTATCTATTCTCAGCTGTTTATCTTCAATGCTCAATATTAATTTTTGAATTTCTCCTCTATGTGCAGATATAAACCCAGTATCCATAGTCCATTGAATAATGGAGGAGAAGATCCAACGCCAGATTGTATGAATGTATTAAGTATGATTTTCAGCATGTTTGGTTTAATGATGAAATTGAAATGGTGCTCCTGGATTGCGTTATTCTGTTCAAGCATAAGTTTTGCTAATTCACGAGTTAATGATGACACTAAACAAATCTTGAGCAGCTTCATGTTATCAATTTCGGCTGTTGTTATGTCCTATGTTCAAAATTCGCAGCCAATGACGTTACCGTTCATGTGATAAATGAATTTTATTATTCATCCTTGGATCCGTTAGTTTGAATTCACCATGTCTCGGTTTTGCAACTACATATTTGTTTCAGGTATTACTACCTTAGATTTCCGCAATACATTTCAATTTATCAATATGTAACTACTTTTATAACGTATTAATATAATATGCCAACTATTATCCGAGTTGAACTCATGTGAAATTTGCCCACTTGATATAAAAGGTTTTCTAACGACTGATATGTCTCTTCTTTGAAATTATGAACTGAAGTTCCCGTGATTCAACATCTAAATGCCAAGTTTGACGAACATTCAGGATGAATTGTTTTTCAACCTACTCTGTAGAAGATATCATTATTCAAAAACGGTAGATTTGCTTGAGCTGAATGTTTTACAATTTTTGTTTTTTTTAGCTAAACCAAAATCCAGAACTATTGATTTCTGATTGAGACAGTAGAAGCCTTCAAATTGGGGAAAAATTCTGCAAGAGAGGAGTTAAAGTGTTCAAAATTCATCATGATTAAGATTATAGTTTATAGACAAAAAAGTGATTCTGGTTATTCGTAAGAATGAATAATGAATTTGATGTGAGAAAATCTTTGAGGAAGAAATTAAACAAAGGGAAAGAAGAAAGAGAGAAATTTAGTTTCAGCTTGAAGATAAAGGGTGATCAAGTTGAAAACAAAGTAACAAGAGAAGAAGAATAACAATTATTTTAACATGAATTATAAAGTGATTGAATTTCTCTGGATGGATGGCAATAATTCAGCTGGCATATCTTTTCTATTCATAACTGAATGAGTTATCTTTCGTTTGATAAAGCCAACATCAATGGGCTGGATGAAATGATGAAAGATAATCAGCCACTAGAAATTAAGATTTTTCGCGTTGATCAGCCGCCACAGGGGTTTGCTCATTTGACTGATCTACTGATGATGGACTGGTTTGTTCATGACTTACAGTACTTCATGTATATCTGTATTTTGATGTGGTTCCTCTGAGGGATTGTTTTCATTTGGTCCATAGAGAGTCTTATGGCAAAGTGGACATACATCTTGAACATAAAGCCATTTACGGAGACAAAGTTCATGGAAATAATGATTATATCTAGTTATCCTAGCAGTTATTAATTCTGAGAAGTCTTGGAAACAAATGGGATAAATATCATCAAGACTTTCCAATTGCTCTCGAGTTGCTTCTCTTAAAGAGTTGATTTTGTGACATAAAATGACACTTTCACAATTAGACAATCCTTTTAAATACCTGAGGAACTTGTAGCCTAAACCATTGTGTTTGCATTAAAGTGTACGGTCAAAAGCTTCGAATTATATTTCGACTCCATCGAACATCACGAATTATTGTATTGAGTAGATATTTGAGTCGATGGATTAAAAATATAAAAAGATTAAGAAGTGCTAATGAAGCACAAACTTCATGTATCCATGAAAGTATGTCTATTGGTAAAAGATGTAACGTGAGTGATGTAAAAATCATCTCAACTAAACACGGTCAAGGTTAGGATGATAATCATCAAGACCTTCAGTCAAATCATTTTGACCATTTCGATCTTTATCAATTATTTAATAAGCATCATTCACGTTACACCATTTATCGGTTTTGCTAATTCTTTCTTATCTGACTTGCTGTCTGATCAGAGATCACACGAATAATGAGTTGTTCTGATAAAATAATCTGTCAAGGAGAAAATGGGGAATCCAAACAATCAATTCTTGGTAGATAATTAAACACGAAGGAAGAAATAATTATATTAAAATTGGATTATGTGTTTTTATCAATCAAACACAATGACCTATTTAACCTTTAACTTTTCAATTATTTATCTTTTAAGAAACTTCTGTTGAATCATTTTTAAATTAGACAAGTGGGTTATTTTGTGTGCAGGGAAAACAAGTTGAAAATTAAATACAAAAATTACATTAATTTCAACAAAATTTTGATAGATCGTCAATTATAAGATATAATATTTAGCAAAGAAAATAAAGTATACAGTAACAATTAATTGAAATTCGATTGGCAACAAATTGCAAACACATAAAATTGAGTTTCATCGAATTAATCTTTACATTATGAAATGTGACAGAAAGACATAAGAAAGGCGTTGATGATGATGTCTGAGAGTTGAATTTTCATTGAACACAATTTCAAGCAGTTTCAAGAATAAGTCCAATGATCCAACTGTTTATTAATTTCACTGCTTTCTCCCAAATTATTGAAGATTAATAAATAGCTCAGAAATCGGTAAAAAAAGATAGATTTCTTAAAAATTTGCTAACCAAGTCAAATGTTGTAAAGCTAACTCCAACTGCAATAGGACCTTTGATCCAATTTAAGCTCAATCCTTTGTACAATCCATGGATGATTCCTTCTTCAACAAGCACCTTCTTAAGGACTCCAGTAATTGTCATGGATCCTTGTTGTGTTTGCATTCGTCTTCTCACAATATCCAATGGATAAGAAGCTGATTGACCAAATAAGCCTGCTATTGCACCAAACACTAGTCTTTCCAATGGATTGGGATCTAATGGTCCAAAGTGCTCTGAATTGAATAAATAAATCATCAGTATTCATGTCATTATAAACTCATATTATCTTATCACTTGATACAATTATTTATTATCACTTACCATGATGTAATCTTTTAAGAGTTTCGTAAGTGAAAAAACTCGTTCCAGCGTAAGGAATAACTCCTAATATTGTTGGTAAGTACCCTTTGTATACAGCCCCGGGACCTTCTCGTTTTATTGTTTTACGGAAAACGGCACCAAGTGAATTATATTTCTCTCGATGAGTTACAGCCATTCGAGCTCTGGCTAAATCAAGTGGATAAGTTAATGAGGTCGAAACAACCCCTGCTAGAGATCCAGCAACATAACTCCTGATTGGATGTTTCCTCCTGAAAAGATAAAATTAGTTAACATTTGATTGAAAAATATTGATTTCTTTATCATATGAGCTTTGAGTCTAACTAATTTTTTCCAGAATCATGAAGATGAAGATTGCAAAAAATATGAGCATCAGAGTATCTGAATTTTGAAATCAAATTAGTTAGAAATCAGTTGCTATTGGATTAATTATTTGTACTTACTTATCTTCATTGGTTTCAACACTTAGTAACCTTTTGAATTGTTCATGCGATGAATATTGAATGGCAGCGTATGGCAATACACGAGCCATGGTGGCTGAATTGCCTCTCCATAGACTTGTGAATCCAGACTCTTTATAAGATATCACAATAAATTTGTACGCTTCATAGAAGCTAAATGGTATATTTTTAATTTGAAAATTAATTTTTGTCCTGTCAAGTGGAGCTATTATTGTTTTGGCTAAACCACCAGCAACTGCACCAGCAATCAATGAAGTGACAACCTTTGATGCATTAGATATTTCGCCTTGTCCACTCATCTGTAATAGTTAAAAATATATTTATTAGGTTTAAATATCATTGGAATATTCATGGATATCTTCGAATGTTGATTTACGATTAAATATGTGAAATAGTTGAACCTTGAAATGATTTTTTTATAAAAACATGTAAACAAGTTAAGTTGCTGATGTTCTTGGAGGAAGACTATCTGACGAAACAACTGATAAAATCAACTATCACATTGTGTATTATCATCAGGGCTTTCCATTTTCTATGCAGTCATATTTTTAATCAAAAGATTTTATGACTTTACATAATCTTTTCCCTTTCTTTTTTCTTTCTTTTGTCAATTTTATCAACCTTAATTTGCTCTGATAAAAGGTATGAAACCATTTTTTAACCAATTTTGTTGAAAATTTTTCCATTGATAATTAATGGACTTTTCTTCGGTTTATCTTCATAAATAAAAAGTATACAAAATGCATAGAAAATGAAAAGCTCTAATTATCATAACTGTGTTAAAAATAGGAATATTACGGTTTTAGGACGATGAACTAACCTTTTTAGCTCCGAGTGGTGTTTGTGGACTCAATTGATCAACGGTAGAATGGCGCTCTTGCATAATTTAGATCAGTCGTTTATGGCTAATCACATGAGAAAAGTAAACTCTGGTTGAGCTAGTCAAGTCTCTTGCTTTCTCTTAACAAGAGAGTAAGAACAGCTGCACTGAATTGTTATCGAAACAATATGATTGATTTTATGGCTGTAAAAAAGTACAGAAAAGTTATTAGAAATATTTCAATTATTTTTTTGAGTCAGATTGGACATGAGTTTAAATATTATTTACAACCGTCTTCGATTAAACAGAGATTAATTATACAAGATTATTTGCATAGAAGAAAAGAGAGCAAAGAAAAAACAAGTTACATGTAATGTTTAAAATAGTGTTAGTAAACAACTTGAAAGGTTCATTTATAGCATTGACCAATAAAGCAACGAAACAAAAATGACAATCATATTCTCAATATCTTGAATAATTGAGTAACCATTGATAGCAGTTATTTGATGGAGATTAACACTTTAAACAGAAGCATTTTGTTAACAATTTATCCACTACTCTCTTTCAACTTTATTGGACTTGTCTAATATTTGGATTAAGCATAACGAGTTGATAATTATTTTCTGGAATTTTGCAAGCTAAGGGAAGATATTTCAATCTGAAATATATTTAGATACCTCACCATGGAATCTTTGCACTTTTAATGGAATTAAACATCGACCTTCAAGCTCAGCTAATAAATCTTTACTTCATAAAAAAAAGGTAACATGGATACAGGAAACAACTAATCTACTTCTCGTAGAAAGAGCCTAGAAATGTAAAAAGATGAACTTACCCGTAAATAGTTTAAAGTTTGATTTAGTAAACAGGAATATCTGCAAAAATCATTTCTGTAGTTTAAATCGATTGGATGAATAATGCATCTTTAATGCTGATTATCAGACTAATGCAACCTTTCCCTAAATTAGTAATAGGGAAATAACCTGTAATATTGCGCTTTCTGTTTAATATTTAAAAGTCGCATGAATTACAAAACAACACAAAAATATAGATTAATTAAGTCACATTAAAAGATCTTAAGCACATCCAGATATAACCAAACAAATAATGTTGATAAGCGACCAACAGTGAGTTTATAAAATTTTGTTCAACAAATTTTGTTGCTAGGGAACAACAACTTTCAATATGTAATGTCAATCTGGCGGGAAGTAATGGTTAGTCAAAACCTTTTTTTGTTTAAATTGTTGATTCCTCTTCTTTTAACTCTGTGTTGCTTTTAAATTTATATTTTTATAATTTTAATTAGTTTTTTCAGTCATGGGAAAGACCGGCTCAGAAAACTTTCGAAAGATCAATCTGAAGAAAAAGGTGTTCTGTTCCAGAGGATTTAAAAAAACCAATGTGAGGAATTTCAAGAGGAAAGCCTGGAAAGCAAAGTATAAAGGTAGATCCAGTACATGTTTCGTCTGTGGTGAAGAAGGGCATTGGGCTAATGCTTGTCCCAATAAAGATCAGATCAAGGAAACTTTTGCCAGTGATGCGCTCGATGACTCAGCTGAATTGGATGCTCTTCTCGATGATGATCTTGATCTGCAAACTCTGACTTTACCAACAGTTACACCAATTTTACCCGAAGACGGAGACTATACACCGCTAATAGATGAAGCTCTTGATGAATTTGGGTTCGCACAATTTAGGCCAAATCAACGTGAAACGATTAAGAGAATTTTACAAGGTCAATCAACTTTACTTATTTCAAGCACTGGATCCGGGAAATCTTTGTGTTATCAACTGCCAGCTTATATTTTATGGAAACGCAAAAAGTACATTACACTAGTTGTGTCACCTCTTATTTCTTTGATGGAAGATCAATTGGTTAATTTACCCAAACCAATGACAGCAGTTTGCCTTCATAGTGGACTCAAGTCTGACAAAAAGGAGAACAATTTGAATCTTTTAAGAAAAGGATATGCTCAGGTATTGTTCATCAGTCCTGAATATATTGTTGGAGGGTCAAATTTCCATGAACTTGCTACTTTACCGCTGATTGCTTTTACCTGTATCGACGAAGCACATTGTCTTTCCGAATGGTCACACAATTTTCGCCCGTCCTATCTTCAGCTGTATAGGGTTTTGAAAGAGAAACTCAATATTAAAACATTTCTAGCCCTGACAGCGACTGCAACTTACGATACCTGCCTGCAAATCACAAAGAATTTAGGAATCACAAGAAATGATATAATAGGTATCACCAAGATTCCTCAGAATCTTATTTTGTCTGTATCGCGTGATACGGATAAAGATAACGCTCTGATTGAACTATTGAAAAGTAAAAAAATGCGGAACTTGGAGTCAATAATTGTCTATTGCACCCGACGAGACGATACAGTTCGATTAGCATCATTTATCCGAACTAGTATGCAAGACTGTAAATCAGATAATAAATCACTTACTTGGGATGCCAGACCTTATCATGCAGGATTGCCTCCTGATGAAAAGAATCGCGTACAAAAATTTTTTATCACTGGTAAAGTTCGTGTTGTTGTGGCTACAATTGCCTTTGGTATGGGTATCAATAAATCAAACGTGCGAGCTATCATTCATTATAACTTACCAAAGAGCTTTGAAAGCTATGTTCAAGAAATTGGTCGAGCTGGTCGAGATTATTCTTTGGCTTACTGTCACCTATTTCTTGATCCATTATGCAAAGACCTATTTGAATTAAAGAAATACGTTTTCTCCAATAGCTGCGACCGTTCAAGTATCGAGAAATTAGTTGGTAAACTCTTCAAGAAATGTAAATGCGATACTCTGGGTAATGGCGATGATATGAATGAGAGCGAAGACGAAGAAGATGATAAAAAGTCAAAAGAGAACAATGAAGATGAAAACATGGAGAAGGCAGCGACTAATTCAGAAATACAATGCCCTGGACATGAGGTAGCCTTGCCTATTGATGAACTGACTATGGATTTGGATATGAAAGAAGAGAACATTCTCACGTTAATTTCATTCCTTGAATTGAATTACCCCGAGAAAAATGTCACCATATTACCTTCAGGCTATTCAAATTGTAGATTGCTTTCATATATTGATGGGTTTGCTGGTCTAAAAGAGATGGCTAGCAAATGTCCTCCAGTTGCTGTTGCAATGGCGTTACGAAAAAACAAAACTGAGGAGAGTAACATGCTTGAATTCAATTTCATCGATATCGCTACAATGCTGGGTCTTCCATCAGCTGAGGTTCGCCGACAGCTTAGATCTTTAGAATGGAATACGCTTCCTGATGGACGAAAAACTCGTGGTAAAGCTCGGATAGAGTTAACGAAATTATCCATAAAAGTTAAGGCACCCGGTAACTTGAAACAGACTGAGCTTGATGCAATCATCGATTTCCTGTATAATTATGTATCATCCCAAGAAAGAGTTGAAATCAACCGATTAGACTACATTTATGATACTTTTACCAAATTCTCATTGCCAACCTGTGTTGATAAAATAGACTTGAAGAAAAGCAATCAATTGAAAGAAACGTTGAACAAATATTTCTCTCATGGATTCCAAGAAAGTGAATGTGTTTTCAACTTGAAGACTGTCTTAAATGCGAAAAATCTTCAATCCAAAATTAATTCAAGGCAGATCGCCGAACCCTGTGATATTGACCAGATACATCGTGATATCAGACATCTTATCAATATGCATGGAGAGTATAACTGGACTCCACGAGCAGTTGCCCGAATCCTTCAAGGTATCTCTAGTCCTAGGTTCCCGGCTGAAATTTGGGGAAAAGTTTATCAATTTTGGAGAGCCCATGTTAATCTTGATTTTTATACATTGTTACAAATTGCTGAAGAGGAGCTCACTCGTATTTCATGAAAATATTTCAAATCATCTAACAATCTCAAATTTTTTATTTTCAAATGTAATTCTTTATCAAACGTTTTTAATGGACTAAAGTTTTTACTTTACTTTTAATCACTTGAGTTTGTTAAAATTTCCAAGTTGGAAATTCCAACATTTTAAGAACCACATCAGTTTGTAAAATATGCATCATAATAATTTCTGAAAAATTAAACGTTTATAATTATTGACTCAATTATCCACTATTCAATTCATTTTCGTGTAAAACAATTATTTCGATAGCTATTGAGCTCGTCGTAATATTAAAAAATTTATTGCGATCATTGTGTCGAGGGAAATATTTCAGATAATGTCATTAAAATCTCAAATATATTATCAATTAGGAAATAATGCATTCTAGAAAAAAACGTACATTGGAGTTTTGATCCAAAATCAAGAGCGAAGATTCAGTAAAACCAAGACAACTGAAATAATCCATCGTATTTCAATTACAATTATCCAGCCTTTATCTGAAAGACCAGAATCTATTTATCTTTGATTATTTACATTTATTGATCAAAATGTCTCTTCTAGTAACTGTCACAGTAACACTAGTCGAATGTTTAGGATAACCTTTACTCTTCATTGCTTTCTATTCAGGGTTAGTTTCATGCACACGAAACTAATTGTCATCATAATATTCGCTACGACCTACATTATGTCTAATTTTTCATCTTATCCCATTCAGTATCATTTTCATTCCATTTCGATCTTCACCATTTCTTCCTCAACTATTGTAATGTTTTCTTTGTATGTATCACTATTTTGGATTACTGATGACCTTACAATTTTTAAACCTTGGATCCATTTGGATTAACATAATTTCATATTTCAATCAGTGGTTATCAATGTAATTAAATTTTGTTTCATCACTCCTTGTTTATAAAAATTTAAATCTTGCTGGATTCTCAATTGGAAGTCAACATCCTTCAATGGATTATTATTGGAACCAATTCCGAATGGAGTTTCCGGAGATATTATAAAAATTGAATTAACGAGTAAGTTTAAATCTAATTAATTCATCTTATTATCAATATTAAAAACAATCTCTTAAAAATATTGAGCTTCTGAGGATGTTTGCTGTGAAACAAAAGGAAACTTTCATGGTAATCGTTTCAACTGGTTGTGTTATTTTTCAATGTGATACATTAGTTATTAATATTAATACTCGAAACAATTTCAGATATATTGTGACCTGATTCTCGATTCCTCAATCATTCTATCATCGATTCCATTAAGTTATAATTTTTCCTTGTTTTCAATGTAACTTATTTTTTCATCATAACCATAGATTGATGAATGAACTCTTGTATTTATTCAAATCAATCATTTTCTGAATTTTACACCAAGTTAAAAAATTATTTATCACAAGTGGAAGTGAAATTTTCCCTCAGCTAAAGGTTTTTGAATAAACTTGATTTTAAGGCGAAATGATCGCTCGTTTTCTGGTTATAAAAAAGTGTTAACTTTTTTTGTTTAAATGCTGCTTGATTAGATTTACAGTTAATCTGTTTTTGTTGAAATAGAGATCAGATATAAATAGAGAGAAATCTAACTCTTACTACAGCGATGTAAGTATGGCTTAAACTTATTTGATTAGCAAAATCTATTAATAAAATAACATAGTAATGGAGTAAATTTTAACTCAAGAATTTAGAATCATGCGACTGCGAATTTGAAGCTCAGTGAATGAGATGATCAACAAAGAGGCAAAGTTATGAAGATGATGACGTTTGCTTTATCTTTCTTTTCTTTCTTTCTCTTTTCTTCCATTCGCCACACCATGGTTTCATCTAGAAAATAGTCTTTTAATGATAATTCCGTATTATCAATGAAAAAAAAACGATCTTGAACATCGATGAACGAAAAAGTTTGCCTTTTACCTTTCAATAATAAAAGGCTCCTAAAACAAATGATTGTTTCTCCTCATCCAAATCATGTAAGTTATTGTTTAAGTTAACCAACAATAATACTCATCCACACATGGGAATAACAATTTAATTCTTGTTAAATCTGTTTTCATTAGCAGTTTCAATCATTTTCACCTGGAACGGATGTTTCCAATCAACTGGATTAATAGTTTTACTTGATTGTTTCCTGACAAAATATTTGCGATCAATTGTTGCTCACATCAAAGTGTTTTTTACCTAAAAAGTGAAACCCAGATGAAAACTATTGTGAATCATTTACCAAATAACCTGATAACAATCAAGTTACTTCAAGATTTAAAGCTATAATTCATCTTAACCAATACTTCGAAACCAATCAAACGATATGAACCCAGTTCACAAAACTTTAACCAATCGATGCTCACATGAGCTTAACGATCATTTTCCAATTCTTCGTCCCATGCTCGTCACGATAAATCATCTAATTTAATTGTTTTCTTCAAGAAAGACATCAACAAGTTTCCAGTTTTCCTCTTTATTTTCCTAGTCTTCCTATCTTCAGTTGATCTCGCCATTTCTGTGTGTTCGTATTCATCATCTTAAGTGTCCTCCTTTTTTCCTCTCCTTTTCCAATTTTTGTTTCTTGGTGACACTTTTTTTTATTCTCCTTTCCTCTGTCTATCTTTTTTGGTTCAACAAAAAGAACATAAAGAATCATGGATCGAGGTGAAGGAACAACTTTGTCTCTTAAAGCCAAATTGAAAGCATCTGAGAAATTGGTTGCAGAGTTAACTCAGGAAAACCAGGAGATCAAGAGGGAAGTTAAGTTGTTAGCTCAAGAATTGGAAGAGCTCCATGATACCTTTCGAGAAGACCAGGTCTCTGAGTTTAGAGATATAAAACGTGAATTAGAGGCAACAACCAAAAATTGTCGTGTTCTTCAATTTAAGCTTAAAAAATCGGAACGTTTAAATGAGCAACTGGTTGCGGACAAGACTGCGTTGGAAAAAAGGATCAATGATCTTTTGGAGACGTCCAAAGTATCCTTTGATAAACAGAAGATGAGAGACATGGAAAATGAACTTTATATAGCCAAAGAGGTTTCACTAAAGCTACACAGTGAGATAAATGACATCAAGAATGAGAAATGTAGACTGGAAAATGCATTGATGGAAGCTCACACTGGTTCGCCTGTTCCACCATCATTGCCATCGACACCAACACCAAATAAGGATTACGAAGAGGTTGTCCGCAGCCTTTGTGATACAATGGAAAGAGAAAAGGATTTACAGGAACAGTTGAAATTTGCTGAAGAAGAAAATCGAACGATTAGGAAAAAGTTGACAAATTTAGAACAAGAAAATGATATATTAATGGCTCAAATTAAAAGAATGGCAAACAAACAAAGGTCTGGTGGCAGCTGTAAAGACAAAGGTATTGGAGGACGAGGAGGCTCAGGTGATGATGACAGTGATGAATTGAATGTTGATGAGATGAAATTACAACTGGAATTGTATGAACAGGAGATTGCTATACTTAGGAAAAAGAGCGATGAAATTGTCCAAGAAAATGATAATCTAACCCAAGAAGTTAAATACTTGCAAGAAAAACTGGTATCACAGCCATTGACCAAAGTAGAGATACCCGAAATTCCTCCTGGTTCTCCTCCCAATGTAATCTATGAACACAAAATTCGGATACTTGAAACAGAAGCTCGTGAATTGAGGAAGAAATTGGTTGACCGGGAAAAAGAGGTTGATAACTTGAGAACAGAGTTGGAGGTTCATCGGAGAAAAGCGTCCAAAGTAATGGTGAGAAGTCGATCACTTGAATCAGAAGCTGCTGTTGATTTAAAACGACAACTGCAACTAGTTGAACAAGAAGCATCCATTTTAAGACAAAAGATTATCACTTTGGAGGGTGAAAATGAAAAGTTGAACGGTGAAAACAAAAGGTTACAGTTACGAGTGTCGAGAAGGCCTCCTCCAGGTCCGGTGGATCAACTGCAGATTGAAAATATTGAACTAAAGACCAAAATATCCGAATTAGAAAAACGTTGTGATTCTTTCAAAGGCGAATTGGTAGCATCCAAATCATCAACAAACCTGGCTACAATCATCCAAGATTTTAAGAAACCATTGAAAGACATTGCATCGGCGGAAAAAGATGTCATCAATGGGTTGAGAAAACAAATTTCCATAAAAGAGGACGAAGAGGTACAGTTGAAGAGAAAGATAGCAACGCTTGAAACGGAGGTTAGCAAATTAACGATGGACAATCGAAAGATAAAAGAGCTGCTCAATTATAAGAAGACGCCAATGAGGGTAATCAAAGAATCAGCAACTAGACTTGAATTGAAAGAAATATGTCGCCAAATGGAGGATGAAATAAGCAAACTTCAAGTTTCTTTGAATGCAAAAGAAAAAATGAATGAAAATCTTGAAGATGAACTGGCAGAAACCAAGAAAAGCTTAGAGATGGCTCAAGTTGACATAAGATCCAAAGACAATCGACTGTCCTCTACTTTATCACAGTCGGAAGAATCATCAGCACAGCTTAAAGAAGAACTGGAAAAAGAACGGGAAACAGTTAAAAATTTGAACGAAAAACTGCAATTGTTGAGCAAAAATAAATCTGATGTTACATTTGTAAATAAGGTACAGTCACTGGAAGCCGAAAAGAAGCAGTTACTTAAAAACATTTGCAACATTGAGTCAGAATTGTTGAAAGAGAAAAGTAAAGCCAATGAGTCAAAGGACAAACTAACCAGCATTCAAAAGGAAAAGAAAGAAGCTGTTGATAACTGGAAAAGGCTGGAAGAAGAAAAGAAACGACTTGAAAAGGAATTGGTTGATACTCGAAGTAAATTAAACCAGGTACAAAAGGAATTGTCTGGCTTGAGTAGACAATTAGAAGCTAAACAAGATCAAATTGCTAGGTCGCAAGAGGTAGTTGATCAGCTAAAAGAACAGGTAAGCTACTTTTTGCTTTTCGATTTTCACATTAAACCAGTTCAGATACAACATAGTCTTCAATATTTCAGGTTATTACTGTAAACACAATCAAAACAATCTTCAATTTATGCACGAATTGGCAAAAACGGGTAAAAACAATTTCCTTCAAATTGAGACTCTGTTAGTTTGTAGGAACATAAAAATGAGCCCATTCGTGTAATTAAAAGATTTCTCTTGTCGATAATTCTCGAGAAAATCGGGTTCAAAGCTTAAATTTGAAATGCTTTTTGTACATTTATGTAAGCAGTTTTTGTATGAAGAAATTGCATTTCATTCATTCAGAGCTACCAACACTTTAGAAGAGTTGAAAGAGTCAATTATCACATTTGTTACTAAAAAGACACAATAAACACAATTCTAACATTTATGCACAAATTGACACAAACGGACAAAAACGGATATTTCTTTCAAATTTAGACTTTTTTGGTTTGTAGGGACTTATACACTGAGGCCATTTGTGCAATTAGAAGATTTCTCTGGTCAATATTTTTCGAGAAAATCGCGTTCAAAGTTTAAACTTGGATCGCTTTTTGTGCAATTATGGAAGTATGTTTGTTCGTGAAACTCACAGTACTGATGTAACTTTTGATGCTCAACCAGAAAATGAACTTATATTGAGAATTATTACTTTCTGTTTCTTGTAAAACAGATCAGTTCGATTTTTAGTTAAACCGAACTCTTTCTGTGATCGTAATAGTTAGAAAGCTGAAACTTACAATTAGCACATGAAAATTGTTAATACACATCATAGATTGAATAATTGTAACAATGTAACAACATTTCTCTTGATTTCGGCCATTTACCTAAAAACTTTTAGCCTCAATATTTCGAGAATGGCATCACCTACAATCATCATTCTTTCATCAAACATAAGATTTTACTATGAATTATTAACAGCATATGACTGAATACCAGATAAATTTGAGCTAATTCATTTAATAATGAAGATCCTTCTAACGCATAAGATTTGTGTTAAGCTTCATTAATCAAGCCACACATCTGACAACATAAATAATAAAATGGTATAACTTTTTAACTGTGATCTTGGACGATTTAATATTTCAATATTTCATAGTGAAAAATAAAATCTAATGTTTATTGAAAGAATGATGATTATAGATGATACCATTCTCGAAATATTGAGGCTCAAAGTTTTTAGATCAATGGCCAAAATCGAGAGAACTGTTGATAAATTTAAAGAAGTGTTCGGTCATTGATGTGTAACAACAATTTTCATCGACGCATAATTGGTTTCAGCTCTTTAACTCTTACGGCCACAGAATTCGGCCGGTTCAACCCAAAATCGAACTTGATCAGTTTTAAAAAAACGGAAAATGTTATTTCGCTGTATAAAACCATTTTATGGTTGGTCATCAAAAGATATTTGAGTGAAATAAGTTTTGTGTCAAAATCTGCTTCCTTAGCTGAAAAAAAGATGATCAAAGTTTAAACTTTGCCCTCGGTTTTTCAGAAAACTGTCCATCGGATCAATTAGATAATAGTACTAATGGACTCAGTTTCAATGTCTCTATAAACCCACCGAGTCTCAACTTTGCACTCAAATGCTCGAGCATTTGGCATTAGTTTTTGCATTTCATTTGCAATTTTAACCAGAAAATTGGTTTATTTACCAAGAAATGGGTTGAGATGAGTTTACTTTGTTGAATAAGTTGTTTCTTGTACATTTAAACCTCAAAAATCATGATCACGATACGCTAATGAAGAGTTATTAAATTGAATTGAATTAGTAATCAGTTAATTATCGAATTGGTGAAAGAATGATGATTGTAGGTGATGTCATTCTCGAAAAATTGAGGCTAAAAGTTTTTAGGTAAATGGCCGAAATCAAGAGAACTGTTTTTAAATTGTTAAAATTATTCAATCCATGATGTGTATCAACAATTTATAAGCGCTAATTATAAGTTTCAGCTCGCTAACTCTTTCGGTCATTGAATTTGGTCGTTTTGACTGAAAATCGAACTGGTCTGTTTTGAAGGAAACAAAATCTTATTACTCGAAATAATTTTCTTTTCTGGTTGGCTATCAAAAGTTACATCAGTAAAATGAGTTTCATGACTAAATATGCTTCCATAATCTTACAAAAAGGCTTGCAAGTTTCGACTTCGAACCCGATTTTCTCGAAAACTTTTCATCGCAGATATCTTAAAATCACACCAATGGACTCAATTTTCATGTCCCTACAAACCAAACAAAGTCTGAAAGAACTTTATTTTATCCGTTTTTGCCCATTTGTGTCGATTTGTGCATAATTGTGATAACTGTGTTAGTTGTGTCTTTTTAGTGACAACCAATATTTCATTATTTTTTAATATATGCTCACGCTCGAATGATGAAATATCGAAGTCTGATTTCATGAATATATTCACCAATCTTTATTTTTATCACAGCTGGATGAGGAGAGGCGAAGTACAAGTTTCACAGTATCACTTAAGCCAAAAACAACCAAAGAAACTAGTGAATCGGAAGGTTTGATCAAAAAGATTGCTGAATTGGAATCCAAAAATAATAACTTGGAAAGAGAACTGGAAAGGATAACTCGAGATACACGCAACAAGGAACTAACGGTCAAAAAAGAATTGGAAAAGCAACTCGATTCTCTTCAGGAAGAATGCAAACAAGCTAAGGAAGAGTTGACTTCCATTAGAAGTGAAAATACTAACCTAAAAACGAAGGTTAATCAACTTAATCAACAAATAGAAAAGTTAACCACCGAGACAAAGGAAAGTGCAGATAAACATCGTAAACTGTTGGTTTCCAGTAAAAAGGAAAAGGACGATTTACTATCGAAACTATCTGATCAAGAATCCCAATTAAGAATGGAACAAAGGAGAAGAGAGAAAATTGAAAAGGAAAATGATTTGGCCCTTAAAAATAAAGAAGAAAATCTTTTACAAGCTCGTGAAAGAATCTATCGTTTAGAACGAGAAATTAAACGAATGGAAATTCTGAGTGAACAAGAAAGACGAGACAATGAAATTAAACTTTCCAATCTGAATCGGGAAGTGGTTAAAGCAAAGCAAGAGTATGATGATCTTACTTCTCGATACGAAGTGTTGGAGCAAGAGTTTGTTTCCATGAAATCTAAATTGCTCAACGAAAAGGATAATTTAATGGAAACTTTGAACAGCATCAAACGTTCCTATGAAGAGAAATGTGCTGAATTGAAAGCTTTCAGAGATTCTATGAATTCAAAGCAAGAAGATTGGTTAAAAGAGAAACTCGATTACCAAGAAAAGCTGTCTGAATTAGAAGCACGAATGAGAAAAGGCTCAGATAGCGATTCTGAGAGATCGAAGTTGAGGATTTCTCTCAATGATAAAGAGAAACAGTTGGACGAATTTGTTAAAAAGGAAAAGGAATGGACCAAAGAGAATCAACGATTAAAAGATCAACTAGCCGAGTCGGGACAAGATGCAAAGCGAGGTTCAACCAGTCTAAGTAATCGACCAAAAATTTCCAAAGAGGTTCAAGATATGAAAAACAAAATGGACCATGCAGAGACTTCACATCGTGGTGAAATTGCTGCTCTAAGAGCTGAATATGAATCTCGAATGAAACTGATGAGAGATGAAATAACAATGTTGCTCAGTGAAAGGGATCAACTGAGGGCTCGAGTTTATTTGGGCGAATCATCAGCTCACAAGGATGAAATGGAAGACATGAGAGCTTCCATGGAAACTTTGAGATCTCACTTGGAGCAAGCTCTATTGGAGAATCGTAATCTTAAAATTGAACATGCAGCTGAAAAGTCATCTTGGCAGATACAACTAGCTGAATTGAAAACACGTCTCAACCAAGCAGATGAGCAAAGTCTCATGGAAATGAGCCGTGGATCCGCCAGAAACTATGCCAAAACACGCTTGGAATTGGCATGGGAAAAGGAGAGGCAAGAAAATCAAAAGCTCCTCACAGATACACAGAGGTTGGTTGAAGATATGAAGAAGCGAGTTATATCGTTGGAAATTGCTCGAGAAAAGGAGAGAACTGAAGCAAGAGAACAATTGAAGGAAATGAAAGTAATTATGGACAAAGAGCAAGAGGATACTCAGAAAAGAATTGGCGAACTTCAGTTGGATTTGATTGATCTGAGAGATTCTCATGCAAGGATGAGATCCCAAAATGATCGGTTGAAACGTGAACGGTTAGCATTGGAAAAGGAACGAGAAGAATACAAATTGAGAATGTTTACAGCAATTTCAATTGAAAATAAAGTCTCAGATTTGTGCCGTTCGTTTGACTCCATTATGAAAATGTTGCCAGCTCCCGAATCATCAAACGACATTGAAGAAAAGTCAACCACTGATTCTGGTTCCAATCAACCTGAAACACCGACACCTGTAGCTACTGGGTTACAGAGACGTAGATCTCGAAAACGTCCTACTGAAGTGAACATGGAAGAGCTTAGAAAAGCGTTGGAAGATTTTAAAGTCAAAATAAGTGAACTGAGTAAAATAACAGTTTTCCGTGAAGGAGATTCTTTCCATAGAACCATCTCTTTCCGCCGTGCCATGTCTTCGTCTGATATGAATCCAGATTTAAATCCTTATTCTGTTAGAGGTTTACCTTCTGCATCGGTTGTCCGAGCTCCTCCTAGGCCTAAAGCGTTAGCTAAGAAGAGTTTATCTTTGGATCAAACAATGGGTGCAAATGGATCACAAGAACGTATCTGGGATTCGGGAGATGAAAGTCTTAATAGTACTCCTGGTTCTAGCATGACTAACCTTCGATATCCAAGTGCAGCCATTTATTTACACAGAGGAGGCTGTAGCTCAATATCAGGCTATGAATCAGAGTCGTCTTATGGTCCAGACTCAGCTCGATGGACGCGAGAACGAAGTTATGGATCAGATGTTTCCGCACCGGCTGTAATATCTTCCAATACAAGTCGACCCAAGAAATCAATTTTTGGTTTGCTCAAGAAAACCCATTCAATTGAAAGTCCACCAACAAATGAAACGGGTCGAGAAAATCGAGACAAGAAAGAGTCTAGTTTAAGGTCCAAAATATCTAAAACGCTGAAAAAGACGCTGAGTAGGAGTAGTTCAAGTTTAACCAAGGAATCAAAAGACAATGTTCATGATAATGAACCAGTTTCTGGTTTAAGATCATTAACATCAAGAACAGATGGAGCAACAGCACTACCTTACCGAAGAGCCAATAGCAGTACACTCGGTCCCTCAGTCAAGCCACCTTTGGCTCATGATGTAAGTTTAATCTTCAGTTTAAGTCAGAGCTCTAATCATATTTTTCCAACTTTCAGGTTTCCTCGACAAGCCGTGGATTAACTCGACGTGAGAATCCAAGCGAACTGAACAACATTCGATCAAGCCTCCGAAGTGTAAACTCACTATCACGAAGTACCCGAGTATAATATTGGAGGTGATCATCTTTTTTTTATTGTTTGGCTACACTTTTATTTGGATTGAAAAAGCTAAGCTCAACAATTTGACGTCCATTTTAACTCATTGTCATCATCATGTACTTTTTTCATTATTACATGTAAAATATCTTCACCTAAGCTTAAGCATATCAGTTTCGTCTTCAAGTTTTCACGATGAAATTCATGCTCAAAATGACATTTACCTTTCAATTGAGGTTTTCATATTTTTGCTTCTCTCTTGTTTCCGAAGCTTTCTATTGATAATAATTTGCAAAGTTTACTTTTCCATCAAAAGGCAAACCAAAAACACTAATTTTCAAATCATTTAATGTAGTAAACCTTTTTTCACAGATATTTTATGTTTGTTAGTAATGATTGTTATTAGAAATGCATTGATCATAATAAACTGCATTTTATGCGGATTGATTTATAATAAAAATTTGAACCATTCTCTTTTCATCCCAACTAACGTTAAGAATTATTTGTGGAGTTTCTGTAAAGACGAAGGAATGAATAATCTCAGGAATCTTAACAAAAGCCTATTTGAGTTCATTTGACTTGATTTCATTTACATGTAACAATTTTTACAATCTCTGGCTAAACTCAAGTGTTGCCAAAAGCTTAAAAGTAATGAACGTTCATCTAAATCCGATTGTTTATTTACATCTTAGGAGTGAAATTATGTTATCAAATTGTGGTAATAGTGGATTAAAAATAAACAAATGAAAGTAAAAAAACGAAAATGAACCTCACAGACCTTGGAATTTTTGCTTTGAATTCCAGGCAAAATTGAAGTCAGGGTTGAATAATGAATAATACGAGGTAGATGAAAGATGAAATGAATGTTGATAGTAAAAAATAACCTAAAAATATATATTATTCATCCATGGCTAAATCTTTATTCTCGGTGATTATTCATTTAAATCGGTTGAAAGATGCTTTGAGGGGGAAGATGAAGGCGGAGTGAAACTTGGAGTGTTTGGCCCATAATAATAATAACAATGAAGATGCTGGTAAATAGTGTCAAATCTCGACTAATTTAGAAGCTATTGAGTTGACTTGAGGTGAACAATTTAATCATCCAAATAGATTGCTTACAAAGTGAGCTTAAGGGTGAGAGACTCTTAAATATAAATTGAATAAGATTGAGATTCACTCTTGTCCAAAGCACAGTTTCAGTTTTGTTTACATTTTTAACTCTTTATTTGCGTGTTGCTTAGACATCGACATCTTTAATATGGCTAATCGTGGTGCTGCTTATGGGATTGCTGCTCAAGTCCAATGTAAAGTAAGTAAATTTAAGTTGATAGATTGATAAATTATTAATAATCAAAATTGTCATTGACCATAGTTAACAAATAAACGAGACATTGAATTGGAAAATGAGATTCTGCTTTGGATGTCTGAAATAATCGGTGAACCATTGCCAAGAGGTGAACTCGGTGATGTACTTCGTAATGGAGTTTACCTTTGCAAGTAAGTAACCAATTATTTGATTAACCCAATTTACCCAATACAGTATTGATAATAATCTGACTGTCAATGTGTTTTTTGATGGTAAATTTCAGACTAATGAACCGTTTGGACCCAAGCACATGTACAAAAATCAACAACACCAATGCTCCATTCAAAATAATGGAAAATATTGACCATTTTCTCAGAGCTGCTCGTAAATATGGAGTTTCTGAGATTGACCTTTTCCAATCGGTTGATTTAGTTGAGAAACGTAATATTCCTGGTGTAGTTCAGTGTCTTATGGCAATTGGTCGATGTGTAAGTCCATCATTCAATGTTTCCTTTAGTCATTTCAACCATTTTTGTTTCTCATTCAGGGTTATCTTCATCCCGAGTTCCGTGGACCTTACCTTGGACCTAAACCTGCTGAAGAGTCAAAAAGAGATTTTAGTGAAGAAACGTTGATTAAAGGTAAAACAGTGATTAACCTACAATATGGAACCAACAAAGGAGCCAACCAACAAGGCCTCAATTTTGGTAACTTTAGACACATGTAATGGTTAAGGGTTTACAATCTTAATGACAAGACATCTTTAATTGTGTTGATTTCAATCATCTAAATTTACTTCACTTTATGTAAATATTGTCTGGTTAAGTCAAACTCTCAAGCCTTTTCAAAGTTTACAATGTTACCAAAGAAAGGGTAAAAATAATAAATTGTATTCTCTACATAAAATGCTGACATTTAATACCAATAAATGTTTTCAAGTGTAATTTGAATTGTGAATATAATTGTATCTTTAAAGTCTGGTTATCAATAAACTGGCATTTTGCTTTTCAACTATTATTATACACTTTATAAACATTATTGTATACCAATGAGCAATATCTTTCAACAAGTAGTCAACAGATTGTTGCTTATGTTATGTTTCATGGCAATCTGCCAATTCATGTTGGTTTCAATATTCACTTGGAACCTCAAATCTTCTCCTTTTTTCAAATTATTTTATCCTTAGCTTGCAAACGAGTTACAGTGATATTAATACTTGCACAAACATCGTTACAATTATAATATATTTTTGAGTACGCATTTAAAAAATAGTAAAATTAATAACAACCATAGAATTGATTTTTATATTTAGCCAATGAGGAACCCAAGAAAATGTGGAAATATTTTCCTTTTCCTAAACTATTTTTCTGCTTAGTTGGATTCTCAAATTTCTGACCCACTTTTCATCATAATTTTCATGCTAATCTGCCAGTTAATTCAATGAAAATTATCATCAAAAATATGTTTGATGCAGTAAGATGAAAGATTGGGAACATTTCAGTCATTAGGTTTTACTTTTAAGCCAAATCTTATTATCTAATATTATTTACAAATCAAGAAATTAAGAGAAGAAACAATTAGATGTTCAAACAATTTCAAATTGTTCAAGCTGAATATCAGTAAAGACCAGAAAAATCAGTGAAACAATCAAAGGCCGAGAAAAATAGTGATTAATATCGAGAGTCTTTAACCAAAGCTATATTAAAATCTGGTTTGTCATTTTACCCAAAAAAAGGCAAAATTCAGATTGAATCGCTTTAGTTTAGGCCCTGAAAGGGTGAATTGTTGATAAATGTTCATTGGTTATCAGAGGTTTAATTGAATTTAATTTCCACACCTTTTACTCAAGCCATTTGTATAGACATTTAAGGTTGGGTTAATTCAGTTTTGGAAGTGAATCATGTCACTTGTTAGGATATTGGCTTGTAACCTAATTGCTAGTTATATTTGAAATATAAGTAGGAAAGGAAGCAAGGAACATGTAAATGATATTATAGCCAAAAATATCGCTATCGCCTCCAACACCATGGAGTAGGAGGGACGAAAATGTATATCGGCAGTGATTCTGGAAAAGTTGAGTAAAAACTGTTCATATTAACTTTAAGTTTCAGTTTGAAGTTTGAGTTTCTTGGGTAAAATCATTTCAGTCTTTTCAGCTTATTATAAAAAAATCTAAAAACCTTTTAATTTCCCTCTGATTACCTTTATTATTTATTGATCAAAATGTCTCTTGCTGCTCAAGTAACTGCTAAGGTAAGTAACACTTGTTTCAATGTTAACCTTTATTTTTTTCATTGCTTTCTATTCAGGGTTAGTTTCATGCACACGAAACTAATTGTCATCATAATATTAGTTACAACCTACATTATTTTTCATTCTTCATCTTATCCCAACATTCATTATCATCTTCATTCCTCTTCATTTCATTTTATTCCCTACTAATCTAATAATGTATTGTTATTGTTTCTTTACATCGTTCACAATGAATTGATTCACCTTAACCATCTTGGATCCATTTGGATTTAATATTTGATTATGTTGATTTGTTTATTAATTTAATCTAAAGCTTGCTGGTAAACGGGATGCTCAATTGGAGTCCGAGATTCTTCAATGGATTGCAGCCATTGTTGGTGAGCCACTTCCAAATGGATCTTTTGAAGAAGTCCTGAAAGATGGAGTTATACTTTGCAAGTAAGTCTAGATTTCTAGTAAATTTAAGGTTTATTATAACAATCAAATAAACGTAGCAATTATTTCAATGTGATAAAGCCAAAAAGTTGAGTCCAATCCGTAAGTGGAAAACAATTGCTGCTGTTAGTATCTTGATTTTCAGCTCTTAAGTTGATGTATCAAAATCAGCCCAATTAGTTCTTTTAAATCATAACATAGCTTTAATATGAATGTACTTTTTTCATCATTACCATAGATTGATGAACAAACTCGCTCCAGGATCATGCAAAAAGATTGCTACTTCTGGCCCAAGCTTTAAATTAATGGAAAATATTAACTCTTTCCAAACAGCAGCTCGAGCTTACGGTGTTCCTGAAATTGATGTTTTCCAAACTGTCGATTTATTCGAAAAGCGAAACATCCCTCAAGTCACTCAATGTCTTTTAGCATTAGGAAGAACTGTGAGTATTCTTGTGTTTAAAACTTCACTAATATCTTTGTCTCAATTGATCTGAATCGCTGTAAGCCTGAATATGTTTTATTAACTGTATTTGACGTTTATTTTATTTCTGTGTTTTCTCAGTGTTATCTTCACTCTGACTTCAAAGGACCCTTCCTCGGACCAAAGCCCGCTGAGGAATGCAAACGGGAATTTACCGAGGAACAACTTCGAGCCAGTGATGGAATCATCAACTTGCAATATGGTTCAAATAAAGGAGCTAGCCAAAGTGGACAAAACTTCGGAAACTCAAGACACATGTAGATCATTTATAATCGCAAATTGACTCAAGAAAAAAAGCAAATTAAAACCAACCTATCCTATTATTTAAATTGGATTGAAGCTTGCTAATCCTTGTTAATTTGGAGCATCTTTTCTCGCAATTGGATAAATGTTCAGTGAATAATTTCAATATCATTGTTCACAAAAATGATTTTACTGGCAATGTTGTTGATTGCTCTTTTTGTTCATTCTGATTGAATCAAATAAAATTAAAAGACCTCGGATCAATCAATAATAATTAAAATAACGTCGAAATATTTTGGTTGGATATTGATTTTGTTAGAGAATTCTGAAGATTGATTGATTGAAGATTCATTTTTAAACTTGACACTAACCTCATAATGAATAAATCAAAGGCAATCAATCTTACTCTTTTCAAATTCAAGGGTAATAATTTGGCAAGCAAGGCTTGTCGATTGAAAAAAATGTGAAATCATTTGAATGCATAGACTTGTTAGTTAGAGAAATAAAATGTCGCCAAGTTTTGGTGATACTCATGAATAGTTTGGAGATAAACCAAGTTTTATTTGAAATTTTACTTAACAAGCATTTATACAGATAAAAGAATTGAATTTTAATTGATTGGTAAGTTAAGGTGAAACTATTTTTTCAAAAATAGCATTTTCTCTTTATACTGTGGATCCATGAAACAAGAAATGAACAGTTTCAAAGCAACTGTAAACGGATCCTTGGGTTTTAACTTTGATAGGATTTTGGTTATAATTGGTTCATCCGAAGTGAAGACAGGTATTAAAATAGATTTGAGTAAGTCAACTGATTCCTCGCTGAGATCGTTGAATTGGAAGTTTTTGAGAACTGTGATTGGAATCACGTCAAGTTTCAATAGCTCTACAATATATTTGCACATGTTTGACTTTTCAATTTTAGAAAGTCGTTCTGGTTCGTTCAATCGATCTTTGAGAGAGTAAATTAATGCCATTTTGTATTTTCGATCTCCAGAGGACAATTGCTTGAACAAGTAAATATAGAATGGATTAAATTTTTTCTCCTTGAGAGCAACTAGAAGACAAACATTCATGACTTCTATGAAGTTTTTACCACCAACTTTGATTAATCTTTGGGTACATTCAATATAATCTTCACATGTGATTAAAGACTTCAAAATTGCTTTACGAAGAGGTGTCACTAGACGTAATTTAGCACATAATTTTTCACCAATATCCGACTCGACAGTTTTTGGCTCGGAAATTTTAATTTCCTCTGATGATGGTTCTTTAGTCTCAGTCTTTGATTCTTTTAGAGTTAGTCCACCATTAATCCACCAACGATTATTTTGAATCACTTCTTCAAATTTACCGGGTATATAAGACACCTTTGTTTTTGTTCTTAATCCATTTTTTATTGTTGCTCGAAGTGAATTTATATCCACTGAACATATGGGACTATCCTCATTTAGACTGTTTAATTTGATTATGTTGTTGTTTTTTATAGCAGATAAAGCTTCTAGCATGAAGCTAATTCTTTTATCTGTTGTCTCGTATTTAACTGCTTGAGATTGAATATTTTCAATCATTTTTTTCAGTCTGCTTGGATCACTTCTCCTCAAGACGAATCCAATCATTCTGAGCTGCAGTAAAATCACTTGAATACACTTTCTGTTGAAACGATTGACTAATTTATCGATGATGTCGAATATAAGATTTGAGTCAATCATTCCACATGCATGTAAATAAGAAATAAAAGATACCAAATTGTCCATTAGCTTGGATTCTTCATCTTCTTTGCTATCTGTAAGTTTTGTCATTACAGAGTCAAATTTCTTCACGAATTGATGCACAACATGGCCACCGATTTCATCACCAATATTTGTATTTAGAACGGAGATCAGCATAGCATATTCTCCAATCAATCGTTGAGGTGATAAAAAGGAATCTTGAAGCAATTGATCATTAATACATTTACACAAACACTGAGTCACTTGGAATAAACTATAGTCCTTTAGGACATCTTCAACGCTTGAAGAAATTGTCTGGAGATTGCTTGCAGATAAACGGTTGAGAAGACCTCGTATCCTTTTCATTGCTTTTTCATCAATTTCATCTTCGACTGATGGTTCAGATTCTTGGTCATTTTTCTCCTTTGATTCGGCTTTGATAATATTTCCCTCTCTATCTCTTAATCTCCCATAAATGTCTTCTTTTAATTCTGTAGATTGTTCCTCATCAGAGATATCATCATCACCATCACTATTATTTGAATCATCGATTTCATCTGCTGAATCCAGTCCATCATCATCTGTCATTTGATTATCTGAATCGTCTTCGGAGATCCATTCTTTTTTACGTTTTACCTCAGTTTTGGGTTCAGCTTTTTGCCGTTTTACTTCAGGTTTAGGTTCAACTTTTTCAATGATAGACCATACATCACCAAGTCCAAAATCCTCAAAACATCGAGCAGAAGCATTTTTTCGTTTTTTGAATCCTAATTTATTTTCCAGTCTTCTGATTATCTCATTATCTGTTTCAATACCATCCCTGAGTGATGACAGTCTTGAATTTGAAGGGGCAGAAAGTGAAGCACCAGGTGATCTTTTCATTGTTAATTTATTTTACCTATTAAAAGTCATAATAAAACATTTAGTATAGAGTCACAGCTGAAACAAATCTGGTCAGTGAATTGTTGAGAGTCTTCAACAGACGTTCTTGTAAAGCATACAGTAACGTGTTTTGGTTTTGCTGTTCAACTAATTGAAGCACATTTATCTATTAAAAGTCATAATAAAAACATTTAGTTTAGAGTCACTAATAAGGAAACAAAAAATGAACTTACCTCCTCTTAAACACTTATATTGATCCAGGTAAAAAATGAGATTGTTTTATTGTAATAGACAAAAATATGGTTTTCAACCCAAACATGTGGCATGAAAAGTGTTGCTAAGCAACTGTTAAAACCAAAGCAGCGTCCCAAACAGATGATCCGAATCCTTGTTTTGTAAAAGAGCTTCCCTGGTTTAAGGACATTTATGTTTCTTGTTTGTTTGATTTGATGAATTTATTTACAGCTTGCATTATTTATATCATTCTTTGTGTTTTATTAGTAACTCAATGGGAGACCACACTAGATAAGGAAACGTTCATGGAAAAGGACGCTTCAACTTTACTGGTTATTGCACATCCAGATGATGAGACTATGTTCTTTGGTCCAGCTTTGATTAACTTGGCTACAGTAAAATCTAGTAAAACTTTTGTTTTGTGTCTCACATCAGGGAACTATGATGGGTTAGGAACCATTCGTAGGTTAGAATTGCTTGAAGCTATGAAAGAAATTGGCCTTCCTGTCAAAAATGTTTTCATTACTGATCATTTCATTGATGGAATGAATCAACACTGGAACCTGACTATGATTGCAATGGTTGTTAGTGAGAAAGTTACTGAGAACAACGTAAGTGAAGTGATCACATTTGATGAATATGGAATCAGTGGGCATCCCAATCATAAGGACACGAATGGATTTATTAAGATATTTCTATCTAATATGAACCCATCAGTCAAATTCATGACTTTGGAAAGTGTGAATATTTTCAGAAAGTATTTATCTTTTCTAGAAGCTCCTATTTCGTTAATCGATTGGACTTTAAGAAAATTTCTAACAGAAACTTGTAATCAATCCAACGCAAAGTGCCAAAAGAAAGTGTTTATCGGCATAGAACCTTCAAAGTATCTTAAGTTGCTCGATTCATTATATCGTCATCAAAGTCAAATGGTTTGGTTCAGAAGGCTTTATTCATTGTTTTCAAGATACATGTTCATAAACACTCTTATCGAATGTTAATTCTTCTACTGTCCGTGCTCTGGTAGAGACGTTATATACCAGTTTCACCAATATTCACGTCGAATACAATTTAATGGTAGTCTGGCGGGAAGTATTGGTTAGTCAAAACCTTTTTTGTAAATTGTTGATTCTTCTTCTAACTCTCTGTTTGTTTTTAAATTTATATTTTTATAATTTCAATTAGTTTTTCTAGTCATGGAAAGGCTGGTTCAAAAACTTTTAAAAGATTAGTTCGAAGGAAAAAGGTTTTTTGTTCCAGAGGATTTAATAAAACCAATGTGAGGCAGTTCAAGAAGAAAGCCTGGAAACAAAAATGTAAGGGTAAATCCATTACATGTTACATCTGTGATCAAGAAGGACATTGGGCTTTCTTCAACTGTATAGAGTTTTGAAAGAGAAACTCAATATTAAAACATTTCTAGCCCTGATGGCGACTACTACCTATGGAACCTGACTTGAAACCATTGAAAAGTTTGATACTTTTACAAAATTTTCATCGCATAAAATAAACTTAACTTATTATTATATTTTAATAATCTCTCATAAAAAATACAAACAAGTATTGAGCTTTTAGGGAAGTTTGCTATGAAACAAAAGAAAAGGGCACTTTCATGTCGATTGTTGTAAATCAGCTGGTTGATGCCCATCATTCAGTCAAAATTGATGGGGTTATTTTTTTATCTATATGTTAATCCATGCTTATGAATTAGCAAAATATTGATTACATTGTATAATGCTATTCAAATATGTTCCTTGTTCACATCTTGGAAGGCTATGGAGGTTATCGTATAGATGGCTGAGTGTTGATAAAAACAGCTGTATAGATTATTTTGATTTCAACTTTGATTGTTACCTTTTTTACAAGTATCACTTAAATTATCTAATTTTATCTATTTATGTCATTCATCTTTGTTTCTAACGTGCTTTACGGAATATTTATTGCTACATTGCTACATGTGATTACTCCAAAGGAATTAAATATTTCTAGTTGTTGAAGCTCAATCAAATGAGCTCGTTTATAGTTTATTTAGATGACATCTTCACCAAAATTTCATCATTGTGACCAATTAATCAAATTTTATAACTGTTTCATTATTCGTGATGGTCAACTAGTAAAAGAGGATTTCTGGATTAAAAGTGGTAAAATTATAAACCCAGAGCCAATCTTCTATGATGAAAAATCAAAACCTGATGTTGTGATAGATTGTAAACATAATATAATCGCTCCAGGATACATTGATCTCCAAATAAATGGTAATTTATTTTAATCTGATATTTCTTAGAATAATTCGTTATCAGGTGATTTGAATAAAATACTTTAAATTCTAAACTCTGGATCTTTTAATTATTCAGGTGGATATGGATTCGATTTTTCCAACGACAATGTTGATATTGAAAAAGCTATTGACAGTGTTGCTAGAGGCATAGTTGCATCAGGCGTGACTTCATTTTGTCCAACTTTAATCACTCAATCGCCTGAATCATATAAAAAGATCATTCCATTCATCCATCGACGACCAGGAAGCCTTGAAAATGGAGCCTCTATTCTTGGTAATTTACATATCTCTCCTTTTATTTCAATTTGAAATTCATTTTTTCAACTTATGTTATCAGGTTTACACCTTGAAGGGCCTTTCATCAACCGCAAGAAACGAGGAGCTCATCCAGAGCATCTGGTTCGTGATAATATCATGAAATCTTTCAATGAACTAGTTGATGTTTATGGTACCTTGGAAGATGTGGCAATAATTACTCTCGCTCCAGAATTGGATGGAGGATCAATAATAAAAGAAATAGTTTCTCACAATATAATCGTTTCCATGGGACATTCAGTGGCAACTTTGAATCAGGGTTATGTGGCTATTTCAAACGGAGCCAATTTCATCACTCATCTATTCAATGCAATGTTACCGTTTCATCACCGTGATCCTGGCTTAGTTGGATTACTCGCCCATTCTTATCCAAATTCATCTAAAGTCCCTGTTTATTATGGGATAATTGCTGATGGAATTCATACACATGATGCTGCTTTGCGAATTGCATATCAAACCAATCCAGATGGCCTTGTTTGTGTAACCGATGCTATATCTGCTCTTGGATTGGAGCCAGGAAAGAAGCACAAATTAGGGGAACAATTTATCGAAATTTGCGATTCAAAAGCTTTTATTGCCGGAACTGAGACACTTTGTGGATCAATTGCAACCATGTCTCAATGTGTTCGTAATTTGAATGCTGTAACAAACTGTGGGATAGTAAAGGCTGTCGAGTGTGCATCTCTACATCCAGCTCAAGTATTAGGAATCACTGAATTCAAAGGCACTCTCAATTTCGGATCAGATGCTGACTTTATTATCCTAGACAATCAATTAAATGTTTTGGCTACTTTTATCGGTGGACAAAAAGTTTGGATTGCTGATCATTTCCCTATCAAAGCTGCGCAATTAAGCTAATGAGCGTTTTCAACGCTTCTCTAGAGAGTCTCTTACATAGAGTATTTACTTATGAATTTTTTACGGCTATAACTTAAAATAATCTAGATTTCTACTCATTATATAAACTAGAAGCAATTTGAAAAGCCATGTTGATCCTCGTCGAAGACGATTTTCCTACAGTTTTAAACAATACAGTGATTTTAAAAAGAAAACGAATGTACCTCAAAAAGTAGGAAATTTTTCTTAAAAACAATGAAATGGGGATCAACAGATTAGCTCTTTGCTAATCCTTGTCTTACCTTGGGTGAAATGTTTCTTATTTACTTTGAAATGTTCGTTATTGTATTTTATTATAATTACATCAAAATGTAAATGGAAAGATTTCGTATCGAATTTTCGCCTTAATTTGTCAAAACTGGAATGAAATAAAATTTTAAAATCTAATTAACTCACAACTAGAGTTAAAGTCTGAAAATCATTATTTCAAATACTCGAAAAATTGATCATGAATTATGTATACAGAGTATACAGAATAGATAAACATTAATCACAACGAGAATTGAATATTTACCTTCAATTTCACAATTTATCATCAAACCAATCACAACTCGCTTTGAATAAAAACGCTCACTCTGCCATCATGTGTTAAAAAGTAAATTTGATTTTTTAATTCAAACAATAAATAGTTTGATGAATCATTTCATTCAAAAGGTCATAAGTTGTTGTGTTTTAAATCAGTACAACGGTGAATTTGTGTCAAACCTGAAAAGTATACAATGGAAATAAGACCCAGGGAAAATAGTACTAACTGGGTAGTTCATTTAAGAGATTTTATTGGCAGTAAGTCTTAATTGATTCTTTGAAAGCATCTTATTCATTTATTTCTATTGATAGAAACGATATCGATTTTATGTCGAGATGGACGAATTGTACTCGGTCACCTTCGGACCATTGATAATTACGGTAAGCTTTATTTGATTACAGACTAAATATACAATATTTACCCATGAATTCATATCAATTTACTAATTTCATCTTTGCTTTTTCAGTCAATCTAGTCATAACTCAAACCAAGGAAAGGATTTACGTTGAAAATAAGTACAGTGACATCCAAATAGGAACTATAATCTTGAGAGGTGAAAATGTGATCGTTTGTGGTTTAGTGGTAAGGATTTTCATCTTTCGAGCGACTAATTGAACTAAGGATTTAAATTTTCCATATTTGTGCTTACTTTAGGAGCCTTCACAGGAGAGACATTGTGAATTTGAAGAAGTACCAATCGATCAATTATATGACTCTGGAGTACCAGAAAATGTGAATTTAGGCAAAATTGCTATTGCACGGAAGAGAGCAAAGGAAGGCTTCGCTGTTAGCGGTTTCTCTGAATATTTTTACGGCTTCTGATTGAATTCAGCTGATTATTATTTCAAATCAATTCATGGAAAACTTTAACCTTCATTTACATTAATTTTATTACGCTACATACATATACATGTATATATTATAAGTTTCATGTCATATCACCTGATTGCCTCGTTTTTATGCATTCATCCAGTAAACTTTTATCGAATACATTTATAAATTATAATAATTTCAATCTTTGCTGACTTCCAAATTGAGATCATAGTAGAGACTTCATAATAAACATACAAAACAATCAAAGGTTTCTTGATATGCGTATCCATCAAAGGCACGAGAAGGACTATTGGTTACTGTTTTACCCACAAATTCACCAGAGTCACTGGCAAGACATCTAATACTTAATCAATTAGAAGGGCAAATTGGTTCTCTTTCAAAAAGTAAAATAGGATAATCAATAAAATGATATTGAATTACATGTTCATCAGTGAGTCAGGAACCGAAAAAATGATTTGAATATCAACACACCAACATTAGTATTTCTTATTTACCTAATGGAAGTACGAGAAGTATAGCTTGAAAAAATGAATATGATTTTAAATCAGATTTCAATTGTTGGACAAATACTCTGAGATGGCAAACATTAAAACATCAAATATATTGGATGTTTAGATAACAATAAGGAGCCTAATGTGAGCCTAGAACCTTTCTTATGCTTTTATCAAGGTATAAGAACCATTCTTGTGTTTAAAAACTCGGAACATCTAGAATGAGGGAACACTAAATTTGCGAGTGGAATGATAATGAACTGCATCAATACAGAAAAGATTGTTCAGATATTCACAATTTCAGGAGGATTAATGAAAAAATACTCTACATTATTTAAAAGAAAATTTACATCATTAAGAGACTTTATAATAAACATGCAAAAAAATATTTAATCATCTATTATTAATACTGTATTAGCTAGTTGAATCAACGGCGATGATTACATTTGTAACCAACTTACAAGTAAATAACAATTAAAAATTCAAAAGAATAAATTTTTAAACAAAAAAAACATGAAAAACTTTAAGTCATGGAATCGCAATATTATAAAAATTAACAATCTTGATTGATATTTATCATAATCGATATCAAAATATAAAATTTTTGATCACATTTTCTGTCCAATTTAGCTATAACATGATCTAGCTTATGATTTTGTATTGTTTTTTTATGTGTGACAAAGTGACACTAATTTGCATAAATTTTGTCTTACATCACAGACAAATTTAATTAATGAAAGACGATGAATTAGGATTAAAAATAAATTTTAAGCTCAAAATCGAAGCAACCCTGACATTATCTGTTGGTAAATTTTTTCATCCAGCGATAAATATTGACAGCTCTTAACATCAAAATAATACAATGGATCAGTAATGGTGACTGGATTGTAAGCTTGATTTCTCAGGGTAACTTTAGGAAGCTTGAAAGTTCCAGTTTGAGTAAACCGTTGGCATTTACGAACAAATACTGGTATCGAATAATTAGGTAACACTTTTTTCATCTCGGCTAATAAATCTTTCAAGTCAACCTTATCCTCTGGATCCAAAATAGCAGCCATACCAGCTCTACCCTCACAACCAGGTATTTCAACTCCATAAACCACACAATCAACATGTTCCAAGTGATTACCAATAACAGCTTCCACTTCTGTGGTGGAAACATTTTCACCCTTCCAACGAAATGTATCTCCGGTTCGATCTTTGAAAAAAACATAACCTAACTCGTCTAGTGTTACTAGATCACCAGAAGCAAAATAAGCATCTCCACGACGAAATACATTGCGAATGATTTTTTTATCGGAAGCTTCTTGATTTGCGTATCCATCAAAGGCACGAGAAGGATCATTGGTTACTATTTTACCCACAAATTCACCAGAATCACCAGCACGACATCTGATACACAATCCATTAGAAGAGCGAATTGGTTCTCCTGTAATTTCATCCACTTTGATTATTGAAACAGGATAAAAAAGATCAGTCAATGCACCGGGTAATATTTGTGATATAAAACCACAAGCACCAGCTTTATGATCAACATTAACTGTAAGAAGCAAAAAAAGGTATAATCAATAAAATATTTCAATTGAGATAAATGTTCATCAGTGAATCAGTCGACTATAACCGAAAAAAATGAATGAAAATTAACTCACCAACATGAGCATTTCCTTCTGTTGCTCCATAAAACTCGAGAACTCTTTCAATATTGAATCTTTTAACAAAATCTTTCCAAATGTTTATCCTTAATCCATTACCAAACATTGATCTGACGCTATGAGCTCTATCAGCAGGTGACTCTGGCTGGCAAAGTAAGTAACGACAAATTTCACCAATATATTGAGCCGAAGTACATTGATATTTGATACAATCGGTCCAAAAGTTTTTTGCCGAAAATTTATGCCTAATTGCCATAGAGTTGCCCTTTAACAGACATTGGCCTGATCCAATAATACCGCCAGATAAATGGTACAACGGGATACAAGTATAAATAATCTCATTAGAGCCAAAACCCATTGAATTGCCAATTCCAATTGTAACAAAAATAAAACGACAGTTTTTAATAACAGCAGCCTTGGGAAGTCCAGTTGTACCAGAAGTGTAAATGTATAAAATTTTATCTGCAAAAGAAAAGTAAAATTAATTATAAATCAGAAAAATGACACTGAATTAATTCGAGTCGATGATTTTCATTGAAATGACCTTAATCCATGAATTGGATCACTTTCAGAGATGAAATGCTGAGCTAGGATAACTACGGCCTCTTCAGAGCCTCTACTCAATCAATGTAAATGAAGGTTTGAATCAAGGTAAATAAAAGTTATGAATGCAAAATGGCTCGTTAATTGAATTCAAGAGGCTTACCAATGAACCTTACATTTTGACATTTAGTACGGTTGACTTTGAACAGAACGCTCTAGCCAAATAAATTAAATAATATTGAATTTTTAATAAGTTTACACAAGCAACTCATTAGGATGATGAACGGTTGACATTAAAAAATCACATTAATGCACCAAAAATGCTTCAAGGAATTTAGCTGAAAAGTTCAATTATAACATAATTGATAATTGTTAATAGCTTCATCATGAAGGCTGATTCAAAGAGCAACAATTTAGTTGGTCCTATTGATGGATTCAATATTTCAACATTATTGGGAAAACAATGAAACATCGCTTCTTTTGATTCTGATTTTACCTTTTCCGATAAATTGAGCTTTTGTAACTAAACGTTATTAGATAAAGTAGGAAGCATCTTCGGTAACAATCAAAACGAAGTTGTCACGCAAAGCAAGCAAATTTGAAGGATTGAAGGTAAAAAAATAGATTTGTGATCAAGTTTTGAGAAAAAAGATGATGAAGAGTGAGGCAAAAAGTATTAAAGAAGAAGACAATTAAAATAACAATTAACAATTGGTGACTATTGGAGTGTAAAGTTACTAATTTTGTTCATGCTACAAAAAAGAGAGTAAAAATTTGCGATTTTAGTCAATTTTAACCATTTTTAAACTCAACTGTTGAACTGCTCAAATATTAACGACTCAGAATAAGCAAATAGCAAGAGAAACTCGCTGCTGAGCGAAGGATGATAACAGAACATTATAAGCCAAATGAACAATACAGAAACAACAATGAGAATCAGAATGTTCAAGAATCAATGCATTTGATTTTAAAGTGATTGAAGCTGTTGCAGTATTGTTTCCATTCAATAGGCGCTTATTTCCTAATCAGGAAAAATGAGTCTTTTTTGTCTATCATTTTGATGAGTAGAGGAAAACTAGTTTTGAAAAAGAGAAAATTTATATCAATCTTAATGTTGACTTGTTATTCCCTGCAAGGGGTAAAATTTATAAGCTGCTAATAGTGATGGACATCATAACAATGTGACTTACCTTCGTAATTACCCGAATTGATATTAATCGGATCTGCAGTTGATGCATCCTTGAGCAGATCATTGAGATCATGATGAGGAAAATTTGGTTGACTTAGGTTACCATAAGAGAAAAATTTTAAATCTCGTTGGTTTTTGAGGGTAGGATACACTTCGAGAATTGCATCAGTCAATTCTGTACCAAAGATGACAGCTTTTGAGTTGATTGTGAGAATTGAATGAATTAGAGATTCTTTTCGTTGATTAGTGTTGATTAAAGCTGTAACGACACCCATTTTTGCTAGACCAAGCCAAAGGCCAATGTATTCACACTTTGATTCCATAAAGAGAACAACTTCATCACCATGGTTAAATCCTAATTCAGTGAATATGTTGGCCACTTTATTAGAAAAGGCATCTAGTTGCTTGAAACTCCAAACTTCATCTTGGTGATAGAATATTGGTTTATCTCCGTGTTCAGCAACCGTTTTCTTGAACAGTTTAGCGACAGTCATGTTACGTCGTCGATGAAGTGCCATTGTAACCTTGGTTTTGGTTAAATAATACAAACCTCTGAAAAAGAAAGTAAACATAAATAAGTGAAAAAATTATAGCAAAATTAAAAAGATGAACAAATTACCTTAAATCGCGATGAATAGTCAATATAATGACTCGAAGCCACATTGCCAATTTAAAGGCTGCATAAAGGCCAATTATCGAAAAAGTCACATTTGAAACAGCTCTGGTCAGTGAATTGTTGAGTGTTTTCACCAGACGTTCTTGTAAAGCGTACAGTAACATTTTGGTTTTGCTGTTCAACTAATTGAAGCACATTTATCTATTAAATGTCATAATAAAACATTTAGTTTAGAGTCACAAATAAGGAAACAAAAAATGAACTTACCTCCACTTGAAGACTTATATTGATCAAGGTAAAAAATGAGATTGTTATACAATATTGTAATTGACAAAAATATGGTTTGAATCAAAGAATAGAGAAGAAGAGGTTTCTCTCAATACAATTTTGGGAAGCTTACAAAGCGGCGCTGGTGAGGGTGCTATTTTATTAGATTAGATTAAAAAATTAGATTGAAATTGAATCGAAAGAAATTGAAAAAAGTGACTGATGTGTAGGACCGCCAACCTCACTTCCCATTGAAATCTATGGAGAGCTTCTTCTGCACTCTTTGGTTTGAGCTAATTGAGACACATTAAGTTTGCACTTGTTGATTACAAAAAGAGACAATGATGAAATCAAAAAATATCCGTGCGAACGTAAACAGATGAACAAGATTCAATACAAAACATGGAACACAAACAAAGAAAGAGAAAGGACAATCCTTGAATGCAGAAGATCTTCACTTTATTGCACTTGTTGATGACGAATGTAAATCACTTGGTAATGGGTATTGGCCGAAGTTTTCAATTCAATACACTAGCAATAATTAGTGAACGTTAAGATTTCACAAGTCAGTGTTTTCAATAATTTTGATGATTTTAATTCAATGAAACCAGAACAGTACAGTAATCCACAATTGGTTACTTTTAAAGTTGGGTTAACTCAACTAACCGGTTACCTTTATTCACTAATAACAATTGAGTGACATTAACAGTGCGTTAACATTATTCAATAAACAACGCCATCTATAGTTGAAGAATTTTTTTTCTTAAAGATTTCTTGCTTCCTGGTTCTTGAGACTTGAAAGTAACAGTTTTCAGTTCCCAAATCATGTTGACCTAACCTTAATAACGGTTTATTACTAAACATTTTGGTTCCAGTAAGAAAGTGATGACGTAAATGTGACGTAAAAACAAATCAAAACACTTTTCCATCAAAAATTTCACCAAAAATGAAACAATAACAAACCAATAACTTGATTGTCTCGCCAATATTTGCGACTAATCATCAAAATTAAAGCTATATATTTAAACATGGCTTCCGATTTAATTTAGACCATTGCATGATATAATAAATCTATAAAATCTTACATTTACAAATATTTAGCCATTGACCAACCTCTTAAATATTGTAATTTTGGCTTATTTTGAGAGCGACTTTTTTCCACCACTTTTTTACCGTCTTTTCACCGTATTGTCCATCATATTGTCCACCACCCAACCTAACACATCCAACAAATAAACCAAATCATCACTTTTTAAAGAGACTTTTCTCTCTGTGAACTTTGGGACCACTTTTTGGGATATGATGGAGATTAATAGTTGATAAGTTAGATGGTGTAAAAGTGGTCAACAATTTGGTGGATTTGGATGGTGGATAATCTTATAAAAATTGTTTGAAAATGTGGTGAATAAAGTACTGGATGTGGTTGAAAAAAGCCGGTCCCCATATTTTGGCCTTGCTATAGCCGTTGTCAATCGTTTTACATTGTCTTTTAGTAAACTGTAAAATTTTAAAACAATTTAGATTATGCAGTTTACTATTTAATTGTTGGCTACCTCCAACATTGGGTTTAAATGATTCTAATGCTCTGGCAGCTCTATTTCAACTTTCATTTCTATCTACGATTTCAATAACCTTGTTGGGTGATTAATTATTGAAACAACCTCATGTAATGATTGCAAATAAACTTTGACAAGCTCAGCCACCTGATTATTAAACAATTGTAATAATGCTGTTGTTAATATTGTAGCTGTTTCTTCAATTTTCCAAGTTGTTTACCAGAATATCAGAGCAGAACTTTTCAAGGGAAAGCCCAAGCAAATGGTTTTCTGTTAATTGTTTTCAGTTATAATTAGATTATACCAATGATCATATTATCCAGAAAAGACGAGAAAAATTGATTTAATCATTAGTTTTTGTTGTTAAGACAAATAATCTGTTTTTTGAAAAGTTTTGATTTTGCCACCATTTATCAAGTTGAACGGTGATTCACAATGAAAGGGCTGCAACTGGTGAAAGACAACAAATTCAATCTTGTGAAAACTTTTTTCGTCTATTTAACATATTTTTGTATCGGAAGTATTACAACTCTTCTTGGATCAAGTTTATTGGATTTACAAATTTTGGCCAACACTGATTTCGCCAAAATATCATTGTTAATTCCTATTCGAAGTGGTGGTCACATAGTTGGATCAGCAATAGGTAAGACAGCTGATTTTATATCCTTTTTTCATTTCTCAAAAATGTCTCTGTTTTCTTGCAGCTGGTTTCGTTGGCCAAAAGGTCAGTCAGCCTCTGGTTTTATCAATCACCAATTTATTATCGGGCATCTTTATTGGGATCGCAGCAGTTTTCACCAAATTTGAATATATTTCGGCATGTCTATTGATTGCTGGTATAAACCATGGTATCGCTGATGTACGTAAGTATTTTACTGTTTAGAGTTTTATTTTTCACATTTATCTAATTTCTTTGTCTTTTCCTATTGATTTTAGTGTGCAATACTTATGTTTCAATTATCTGGAAAGAAAGCTGCACAAATTTTCTTCAAGCGCTTCACATGTCATGGGGAATTGGCTCGCTACTGACTCCAGTGATTACAAGACCTTTCCTTTTACCGTCAAATGAATTTGAACAACCCAAAGCCAACAATTCTTCCTCACATCTACCGATTATCAATCCGATTATTGGTTCAAGTGATGTATTAATTCATTATGTGTTTTTTATTTTTGGTATCACGTCAATCGTATCATCCATACCCTTTTTGTGCATTCATTGTTTTGAAATGAGAGAAACAGATGAATCTAATGAAGCACCCGACGGAAATAAGGAAATTAAACAAAATTGGAGTAAATGTCAGACTTATACTGTAATTACGTTGGTTGCCCTCATTGGACATATTGTTTACAGTCTTGAAGGATTGATAGGTAATTCCCTCGATTCAAATGACAATTTATTTTACGATTCATAATATTAAACTTTTCATTTCATACATCAGGCTCACTGGGAACTTCATTTTCCGTTAAATCTGATCTTCACATGGCGAAAAAAACTGGTGTCTTACTGGCTACAGCTTTTTGGATTTGCTTCTCGTTTTATCGCTTACTCTATATACCATTGACTTTTATTATATCGGAGCAAAAGTTGCTAGTAACGAGCCTTTTTATCTCAACTGTTGGCATTTTCGTTACGGTTCCTTGGGCTAACACTCATGAAATATGTATATGGTTGGGATTTATGCTCATTGGTACTGGCATGTCACCGATATTTTGTGCCGCTTACGGAATGTTGGCTCAATATATTACAATGAGCGCGAGGATATCTTCAATGCTTTTCATTGCTGGTGTTATTGGTGAATCAGTTCACCCAGCAATTGCCGCTGCTTTAATGGCTAATAATCCAGTCATATTCCTTTATTATGTTGGAGTATTAGGAATTTCGTTCATTGTCCTGTTTTCAGCTCTTCTTGTGTATTACAATACAGCTCTTAAAAATTGTAACAAAAATCAAAGACCTCAAGTAGCCGAGGCAAGACTTTCAATCAGCATATCTCACTTCTAATTTTGTTATTACCTGTTGATTACTTTGACATTTTATCTCCATTTAGAGTTTTCAATCATAAAACTCTTATTCAGTAACAAGTTAACAACCATTTTTCAATTGTTAAAATACGATAAATACACCTCATTGTTATCGACATCATTAGCTTGTCATTGTCATTTGTCACTTTGATTTTATTTTACATCCATTCATCATATCATCTGGATAAATTTACTCTTAAAAATAATCAATGAGCATTTTCTTGTTAATCAAGTCACTTCCATCAGCAATTGAATTTTTCAACATTTATTTTCGATTTGATACCTCAAAAGTATTATTCTAAGTAATCAACTTGTAATTTAAACAAAAGACTAGCTTTAATAAATGTCGAACCATCTTTTCGAATGAAGTTAATATTAATTTAAATAAAAATTGACCAAAGTGAATGGATTTTTTCAATAAAAACAGATTTGGTCACTTATTAATAGGTGAGTGAGATGAATGTAAAAATACAAATTAAAACAAAATAAAACATGGCTTGTTAGGAATAATTATGAAGTTATATGGATGGCGATGGACGGAGTTCAGTCAAAATATTATATTCAGATCCAGTATGAAATTCAGTCCAAAATTCAAGAACAATAGTAATTGATAAACATTTCCAGAAACATGAGTCTAGATTTTGTTGATTTCTAAACATGTTGAAAAGAGCAACAAATTTTTAGCGACTCTGCTCCAAATGAGATTTTTGCTTTCACTAGATTTGGCCTTCTCGATATGGCTTTGTTTTTCATCAAGGAAAATTTAATGACTAAATCATGATAATTCCAGGATTTGATGATAAATTAAATTTGAACCAACCAATCAAAAGTTTTCGGAATTGAAATTTACATCCTTTTCTTTGATCTTTTCTCCCAACTTATTTGATTCCTCATTCAAGGGACTCATATCACAGGTTGTCTTATATCGAGTTTCATTTGATAAGCTGGGTAAATTATTTTCAATATCGCTAAGATAGCTCCAAGATTCAAAATCGTTATCTCCAGAGTCGCCAACCTGGATAATTGTAGGCGAGGTTACTTTGGATCCAATGTGGTTGGAGGTAGAATTAAGAGCTGACTTATTCGTTAAATTACAATGGCTTTTCAAGTTGATAAATCTTCCATTGATTAATTTGTTTTTATGAGCAAGAAATTCTTCATGAGACATCATTACTTGACTCAATTCATTTGAACTGATTTCAATCGTTTCAGGTTCAGAGTATTTGAAATTAGAAGGCGATGATTTAAGATTTTTTACAGAAACACTGTTGGAGACGAATTTTTCACCATCAGCTAAATTTCCTTCTTCAGTCAACACAACATTGGAGAATTTTTTACCAGATCCAAAACTCTTTTCTCCATTATGATTATTAACAGGTATTTTAATTGATTCAGGAACATTGAACAGCGTCGAGTCCAGTCTGTCGGGTGAAGGTGATCTCCGTTCAAATGCAGAGTGCACTGTTGAAACCTCTATAATTGAAGGCTTCTTAATATCAAAAGGTCGATTATCATGATTTAAGTTATTGAATTTTTCACTGGTTGTTTCGTTTTTGTGTGATTTTTCTGTAACATCAGATGAAGTATCATGTTCAAGAGAAGGGGCTGATTTAAATTTGACATTTTCCAGTGATGGTTTCGATGAGATTTTCATTTTATATTGATTAGCAGAATTGTGATTATCAGAACCAAATCCATCAGGAGGAGCAACAATATTATCTTCTTCATTGATTACCATACCAATTGTTTCAAATTTGCTACTTGCTCTCAACTTTGATTCGGTAGAACCACCTAAACCATTTTTCTTGAGACTTATTCTTTCTGCTGGCTTTGGAGCATCCAAATCTTGAGGTGTTTCATCTACAGTTATAGTTAACGAGTCATCAGTAGAGTCAATGGTTTTAGAGCACGATCCGAGCATTCCAGATGAATAGGTTGTCGATAGACTATCAGGTCCACCAACGGGTGGTTTCGGTCCACTCCAACGGAGTAATCCTTGATTATCTTCAAGTACACCTCCTTGATGAAGAATCATATTTTCTTCAGGAGAAAGTTGATCTTTAAGGTCAAGAGAAACTGCTCTTTCCAAGATAATTGTCGACGAAGGCTTTTTATTTTTAACCAAAGTTAAATCTGAAAGTGAACATGACTTTGATTTACCAGCTGGACTCTGAGCTCTTCCATTCCTAACATCTCCATTCATTTCTTTAATTATGTTTACTGGGTGAGGTTCAGTTGTTGGTTCATCACTGGTTAAAGATTCCATTGCTAAGCTCATGGAAACATCAATAGCTGGTGACTTTAATTCACTAAGATCAGACAAAGATTTTTCTGAGTAAAGCGCGTCGTCTTCAGAATTTTCTTGATGAATAACAGCATGAATTTCAACCTGAGATCCACCTGGAGAGACTGATTGTACATTTCTACCATTTTTGACAGCCAAAGCTCCATCAGTGACATCCTCTGTCATCTTCATTTCAATTGAGCACGTTGATGATGATGGCGATGGTGGAGCTGGAGCTTTACGTTTTCCTGCGCAACCTTTTTTACCAGAAGCCGACTGAGATGGCGATCCAGAATTGATTGGTGATGATTCCTCAGATTCAAGTTTATCCATTTTTGTCGTCTCAACCGTCAAAGTTGATAAATGGTTGATGGCTTGGTCAGCGGATGATGATAAATGTTTAACTTGACTTATTATTGACGCTTTTGGGTTCATGTTGATTGCTATTTCCCCGGGAATCGATTTCAAGTTAATATCATTTGTTGATGAAGGTAAAATGTAGCTGGAATTTGTAAACATTTGATTATTCATGAGTCCAGAGGCGTCTAGTGAATAACAGGAATGATGATAATCACTTGATACTTCGTGTAAACCATTATTACTGCAGTAATCGCTCGTTTTCCCCTTGTCCGATTGATTAGGTTTCATACTATCATTTGATCGGTAAAGTGAAGTTTTAATTTTCCTCAATAAACTATTGATGCTTTTAATGCTTCCAAAACTTTTGTCCTCCAAGCTTGTCGGCTTATCCCCATTATTTAGACGAGTAGTCAATTCACCGACCGAATGACTGCGAAATACTGGATGTAATATACGATGATGCGATGGATCACTAGAGCCATATCCATTGGCCAGTCGACGAGTGATGTAAACATGACTATTTCCCGTTAGGTTTGGAGTGTTTGCTTTAGTTTTAGACGTTTTCTCGATCTGAAGGGTAACATCATAAGGTGAAGCGTAACTCAGGATTGTCAGGGCATCTTCATAAACCATCTTTTCAAATGAAACTGTAACACTCATAATACGATCTCCTGTTGGGAATATAAAAAATAACCATTAATTATCTGAGTTAATCATAATTTTGACATGAAACATCATTTTATAAAATACACTGTAAAATGAATAAACTGCACGGAATAAATGTCCAACTCAATGTTAATCTCTGGAGATTCAGTTCTTTCAGAGAACCCTTTTTTTAATTAAATTAAATAATGTAATCATGAAAAGTAAAGCACTTTTTTGCGTGATCAAAATGGCACTATAAAACTCATTTTAATGGTAAAATTAATAACAAACCCATTGAGATCAATTATGAAAATTGTTGCATCGCTCAAATTAGCACAATTTGATCGGCAATTTATTGTTGTTTATGGGCGATAATAAATGTTGAATGATAGCAATTCAATGGTTTATTGATGAAGAAAAAGTAATTAACTGATTATTAAAAACAGTAAATGTGTTGTTAAATATAACAACAGGTCAACGCTACTCATAATGTTTACAAACTAACCATAGTTTGATTATAATATTATTAATATGGCTTCGTAAGTAAATATATTTCAATAATCTTTAGATGAATCTCTACAAATTGACTGTTCCAATGAACAAAAAACAGGACACAATAAAGTCTGGTTGCAAATTCATCATGACTATCAGTAATTGCAAAATTAGTTCATCCATTGACTGATTAAACAAAAGATGATCTTATACTGAATGCAAGGTAAAAATCAATGAGATCAATCATGAACTGTTTTCAATGTTTACTTCAATGTTTCAATTGACAAATGGCAAGTTGTTGGCATAACCAAAATTATATGGTCCAGATTCAGCTATTAATAGATTAAAAGTTGAACCAAAATAAGGCAATTTAGGTAATTAAATGTACTCATCAAACATCCGGACATATTGAGTGAAATATTTAGGAAATCATTCCATGATTATTGTCATACGAGCAAAAGGTTTAGTGAAATAAAAAACAACATTTCTCATGTTGATTGTGTTATTAGGATGTAGTTTTTTTATTGTTGTTTACGGTAATAATTTTCAATTGACTGGAGAGAAACAAATGAGCAGATTGAATGATTTAAACCTAAATTTAAACGCTCGGTGAATCAAAAGTCAAAATTAAGGGTGAAACTTGAAAAAGGGTAATTCAAATGAAAAGTCAAACATTAGGACCAGAAAATAGGTTTCAAAGTGATAATGGTTTCATAGAAGAATGTAAAACTTGAAATAAAATGTTAATTAAATGTTCTGATCATGAGTTTGTATTGTATTCTGAATGTGGATTTGCTTCAGGCTGAACAGGTTATCAACAATGTTGCTTTTCTAGACTTGATAGACTCAACCCTTTCTAGATTTGTATTGGTAATTATCATTTTTTTGTATAACATGAAAAGATGTAACAACAGCCATTAAGCTTCCTGTAAATATGAAACAATTTATTGAAATGTTTTGTATTGATTCATAAAAGCTGATTAAATATAATTTAAACCTCTCCATCCTACCGGGTCACAATATCATTAGACTATGTCAACTATCAATTACTAATCTGTATAATTTGTAAATCACAATTATACTTATAATCAATAGACATTAGTTTATGATCAATTTAATATTATTGACACGCAGTTTCGTGCAAAAGCCATTTGATAGACAATTGAATTGGCAATTTCAATCACGAAACTTTCATTTTAACCTTCTATTGCAAATGATCAATTTGATTCAATTTCAAGTAATCACAATTAAAGTTATCATTGTTGTTCCCTTGTCAGTAATCTAATTGATTTACTGGCATTATTATTGTTTTCATCGTCATTTCACAAAAGTCCATAAACTGTGATCAATTCATTAATTGCTATTTATTCATAAACGATAAAATCACATTAATTATCTCAATTGATACAAAAACTTGGGTCTATTTGATTGAAACCATTTGTATCAATTTCAGTGATAAATCAAAAGTAATTGCAAGTGTTGATTGATTCAAGTGTTTCATTCATCCATTAATTTGATTTAAATTTGCAACTTTAAGTAAAAGTTAACTTTTCTTCAATTGCATCAATGATAAAAATCTTGCAATAAAGGTAAAAATAATATTGAAATTAAATATTTCAAGAAATTGAAACCTAAATTCAACCTTTATTGATCACACTAATTACGAGTTGACAATCAATGTAAAAATGATGAACATGAAATTTACATGATTACCAACTCTAAGCACGCATCTTTATGCTTGGTTTAGCACCTAATTTTGGTTGATTCCGATAACAATCAGTTTCTCAATCAATATATTTCTTTCATTAAGATAGCATTCACTACCATCATCATTTTAAACATGATAAATCTTGATGATACAATCTGCAAAATGTCGACTCAATCCGATTATCTGTAAACCTTTTCTTTTGTAACCGATTCAAATATATACTTTTATACCGATTTGTTGATGAAAATAAAAGTAAAAATCAAATTACTGTAACTTGCGTTCATCTTTTTCCCCCAACTTTTCAACTTCACCTTTCTAATCTGATTTATCATTTCGGATGAGCACCCTTATGCTTGTTATTTTCATCATCAGTATTAAGGTCAAATCGATACAAGATTACATGTAGAGACGGATTCAATCAAAGGACACCTGAAAGTCCAGTAAATCCAAAAATATCAGTTTGAACCAAACTACAGATAAACTATCATCAACTATTATTGCATGTTCATTACGATCAAATATAATTCAAAATTTACTGTAATAACAGGAAACTGAATGAGAAAAAATCAGATCAAAAGACAATTAACAAGATTCTTCAGATTCAATGTTCAACCCATAATAGGTATTGAACATTTGATTGTGATTATGGTGACAGTATTTACTGAATGGTGATTGAGGAAAAGTGATGATAATGATGATATCTTATTGTTATCGTTATTTGCGAAGGAAGACATCCGATAAATTCAGATTCCAGGTATGGTTCGTTTCAAGTTAATGGACATGATTTGGGCGTACATTTGACAGGCAAAATAATGATTCAAAAATGGAAAATATTTTCATCATTGAACATGATGAAAGATGATTGTTACAAGACAATTAGAAGAGGACAATTTATTTTAAAGAAGGCGAACAACAAGGAAAAAAAACGCTTTCGATTCCATGTTAAATTATCCATACAAGTAAACCATTCTGATATCAAGTTATTTAAGCACAATTTGAGATGCATTTAACCCATCAATGGCCCATAGATGACATACTTAATGTTATCTTTAAAACCTTTTTTTTCTTCATTCTTATTCATTTTTCCCTGTTTGCTTCTAGAAATGGCGAAAAAAAGTTTTCTCCATCAACAATATAAATTGAACTTTTTTCACATGCTAATATGAAATATCGCTTTCAGCAAACCATGATTTTTCACAATTTATCAAACCTTAATCACTTATTTTTGGTCTCACTTTATCACTAATGACAAAATTAACTCAATTGAAAAATGAAAGTAAAACAAATTTCATGAAATTCGTGAGACGTTCAACTTTAAGTGTTGCTTTTCAGATGAAATGCCATTCATGATCAAATATTGAAGTTTCTTTGTATGACTAGATCTTTTTATCAAATGATAATCAAATGATAGTGTCATGATACTTTAATAATGTGAAGACTTGCCCTAAGACAATATCATTTTACAAGTGAACATCAGTTAATTTCATTTCAAATTTTCTCCAATTTGGCTGCAATTAACTTTAAACAGATGGAAAAATTTCACCTGACTAATTATGATTAATTTAAAGTGTAAAATGAAATTGTAGTGAAATTATAGTATTAAATTGTTCTTGGTCAAGTAATTGTAGCAAAAATTGTATTGATGAAAAAAATGTGTAGTTACTTGAATAACTTGAAATAACAATGAACCAGTTTTTCAACAAAAGTCACAGAAATGTTCATTTCGATTCATTTCGTTACTCAAATTTTGGTTATCGTTAATTTTAGGTTAAAATCAATAGACTAAAACAAATTAATTTATCACAGAAAATGAAATTCGTAAAAGCTCAGCTATTTACACAAAACCAGTCAACAATTTGAAACATTCAATTGATTAGAGTTGACAGATTGACTTAATGATGATGAATTGTAATTCAACAAAAAGATAAGTTAATCAGTGATTGTTATTATTGGATAAACCATGTTCATTCCTAATGAAAACTGTATTCAAGTTGATTGTTAACACTTAATGAGCTGTATCAATCAAAAGATGTTAAAGATCATTTTACAGAGTTAATATCAGTTGAGATATTCTGAATATCAATACAGATTTTTGATTTCAATCAAATGAAGATGTTGGTGAACTCCCTGTAAGTGGGAAAACAATTGATATTCAACTTCCGATCAATGAGGTGTGGTGATAAAATTTAATTTTCATTTACAGGAAAAAAAATGAAGAAAAGGTGACGATTATTTGGATCTTTTATGAATTGGATGAAGAAAAATGAAAGTGATTATTGATGATGAGTAGGCTCATCATCCAACATCATCCTTGTTGTGGGTGTTGATAAGTCACACCTAATTTTTATGCTAATCATTGCTATTACGGTTAAGAGATTGCAAAGTGTGTAAAGTAATTACAATTTGTCAAAATTTGACTCTCATTTGACAAGGTTCATTTGTTTCCACTTATTTGGTGCTTATTCAAACAAAATAACAAGGTAACTAAAATTGGGTCAAATGTTATTATTAATCTAATTGATAATGAACAAATATTAACATTAAAATACATAATTTAACATGTTAATCAACACACACATTATTGCTCATAGTGAATGTGAAAATGTTGCTCTTCAATGTTATCCATGTTATTTCCTAACCTTGATTAATGTTTTACCGGAAAAAGTTGGATCAAATGTAAAAGTTAATTATCATCATTTATAAAGACCAACGATCTGATTGAGTTTATTCAACGATCAATCAACTAATCAATCATGCTTTGTCACTGTTTTACAATATGTTCAATAACAATAAGCGGCTAGAATTACAATTTAAACCTAAAAACGAGGAAAGTAAATCATCTTGCAAATTCAAACCCAAACATAGACAAAACAATAATTAACATCATTTTCATAGCAATTAAAATTATCTACAAAGCGTCATCTAATTAAACCATAAAATTTGTATTACTAGCATTTGACCCTCAAAAGATAGTCAAAGGCCAATTGAGTGAACTTCACCTTAAGTGAATTCAAATTGCAATTAAACTTGATTCTCATAAATTCAATTTACGATGGAATCAAGTATTTTTAAAATGAATAAACTTTGAATGAAGTAATAACTCAAAGTTGGACAATTTTGTTGATCATTTTTGTGGATTTAACATCAACAATGAAATGTTTACAATCAAAAAACACTGAAAATGGTTAGATAAAAGGCTAAATAACAATAAATTGCAGGATAAATAAACAGACTTCACCGGAATTGAATCAAATTAATTGTAACCTAAACTTGAATCATGTATTTACAAAGTAAAGCAAATGTTGACAAAGGACAACTGAAGAGTCGAGATGAAAAGGTTGAATGAAATATAAAAAAACATGAAGACTATTGAAAAAACTTTTGTTGCCTTCATTTAAGGAGATTTTATGAGCTTATTCATTATTTTTAATGAAACATTTTAGAAACTTTTCTCACCATGACATTGCTTTCTACATTTATGGTTATCTTTAGAGTGAAAGTTTTTTTTGCTTCATGTTGATGATAAAAAAAAGTCATCAACGAGCGAAGACAAGTTAACAGTTGCGACAATGATAGTCAAGTGACTCTCCCTTTAGTTGCTTTTTTCATTCACAAGGAAAGGCAAAGTTTCATGAAGCTTTGTTCTTGCATGGAGATACACAGAAAAACCATCAAATTACATATTTTAATCATTTTAATGGTTGCTCAAGTTTGTTGATGAAATTGAAAATTATAAATAATAACCTTGCAGGTTTGCTTCATTTTTGTTTATGATCTGCAAAGGTGTTGATGTGATTTAATTTGCAAATCATTTGTACTCAGTAGTTAACTGATTACGAGATTTGAAAAAACAATAACCGAAAGGTAATTTCACTTTTTTTCTGAATCAATTCTGTGCTCATCAGGATTGAAGGTGCTTTAGATTGAATAATGTACCAAATGTGAGTTTCGCTTTTTATGGATAAACATTTTGTCATTTTGAATAATAATCATCTTGGATAATGGATATAATAGTGATAATGATGATGGTTAGGATGATGATAACAAAAAACTTCATCGCATTTAAGGTTACGGTAGAGAAGGAAAGTGAAGGTTGATGTTTTTTCAAGCATTAACTGCCCACTTAATGAGCTGGCCACAAGTAGCTATGAACCACACTGTGGGGGTAATTGTAACCTAACAATCAAAATGGCCAAAAACAAACTAAACCTCATTTTCAAGTTTCAAGTTGTTTTCATTATCTCAATGCATGTTTTCACCATTTATCTTCATGAATTACTTCGTCAAGGAGAGATTGAAAAAGACCTTCAACGGACAATAGTCACAGAACCATAATGGCCCAATGCATAATGTTCAATGTAATACATAGTGATATCACAGGCACAAGGCTATTCAGCTAATAAGAAGTGAATGCCTTCGCAACCAAAAGAGTTATTGACTCAGAAATCTAGTAAAACAGATTCGACCATTCAAAGTGTCGGAGTTATTCAAGAGATTTCTGAAAAAACATTGATGTGGCTGAATTATGGAGAAGATATTTTTGCAACGATAAATGTTAGCGACTTCTGGTTAATAAAAATTTACAGTTTACAAAGATTTGGAAAAATATTCAGAAAATTCCCTGATTCGAGTTGAACTATAGTCAGTTTAACTTCACTGGTAATTGAAATTTATGCATTTACTTGACAACTTGTGATTCATAAATTGAACAATTAAATGTTGAATAAAAGTGAAAATTTTGACTAACTATTCAAGGCCAGGGTAACAATGGTGGCAATTAATCTGATCCCATGAAACAATTGGTTTTATTTTGAACCATCTCTCAACCGTTTCAATAAAACCATCTGTAATTTGATGAATAACGGTTTGTTTTTTGATTGAAATTTAATAAGTCAAAAATTGTGAAAGACTTGAAAAATTAAGAGCTATCATGAAAACTAGAAAATTATCAATTGTAAAATATTCACAATGAACAGATGAAAAAAGGTAATCGTGATTAGTTGAAACAAAGGAGGAAGCTAATTTAATTAATTTTAATTTAATCGGAATAATTTGAACAGAAAATCAAATGAATAACAAAATGCTAAGTTATACCATCATGAAGGAATCAAGTCTTGGAATGAGATGCTGAAGCACAGATAATGATATAACATCATTTTGACAATCCAATCAATCATGAAAAGCCAAAATAATCCAAGTTTACTTTTACCGTTTTGATCTGAATGATCTTCCTATTTGACAAAACCCGTATCCTTTACCGATTCAGCTTATCTATTACCTGGATAGAGTATCATTATTATCACACATGAACCAGGTATGCGGATATAATATATGTTAATACATCAACATGTAAATTCATTTTAATACGTCTTTTCCTGACTCTTCAACTTTCATTTATATAAATAACCATTAGAGTTACTCTGAATCGATAATGAATGGTGGTCCATTTTAATTGCAAATAACCCTATCAAACAGAATGAGAACCTCAATGATATAAATATCATGAAATGTCCAATGTAAATGAAATTTGCATGAAACATGAAAATATAATGATTCATTATTGAAACATTAATGGTAAACCTTTTGTTGGATTATTTTTGCCTAACAATCGGCTTTACGTTTATTTGATTAATTGTTAACAGCTAACAGTTTCAAGTTGAGAGATTAATTTTACAAAAAAGTTCTGAAGCGAGGTAATCAATTGCAGAATTACTGAAAAGTAATCAAAATAATATTTAACCAGCTTGTAAATCAATCTTCATTGATTATCACAGTTTTTTACTTTCATCACATTCAGTATTGATTCTCACCCTAATTTACACTCCTACAACAAAAAAGGTATCAAATGGTTAAGCAAATTTTTTGCATCTGAAAGTGAAACAAATGTCTTAAAGGTATTAACCTGTTAATGTAACCTTGAATTAACTTTTCCCTTTTTTAATAAAAATTATTCTCAATTTGAAAAACATGAGTTTCAAAGTGATTTATTAAAAAAAGTATTGAAATCAATTTGAGAACTGAAAGTTCAAAGGAAATTGGAACATGAACCAACAATTATTCATTTGAATGTGACTTTCCTTAAAATAAATGTTCAATATAATCAAGGACGATTGCAGTTTATGAACATTGATCGAGTCTCTTACCTGCTTTAATTAAGCCTGACTCATTGGCTGGACCTCGTGTAAGAACGTCTTTGATGAAGATTCCGTCTCTCATGTTACCAGCAATATTGAAACCAAGTCCAGTGAAATCATGGCCAGTCATTTGAACACGAACTTGTTCCGGTTTCTGGAACAATCAAAGTTGCATTTCCCGTGTCAATAAGTTCACATGAACACATGAGCCATAGAAGAAAAGAAAGGAAAAAAATGAGTAAAGTTATTAAAATAATGATATATTGTTATGGCATTTGAACCAATGTTTTGGGCAGTGTCCGGTTTAAAAGGATAACCTCGCCCAACCCAGGAAGACTCTTGAGATGTTATTAGCTTCAATAGTTGAGAGGTTGTCTGGTGAAAACAACTCACATTAGAATAGCCTTAATCAAATTAACATCTAAAGTTATTTAATTAAACAATGAGCCTAATTGTTTAACTTGAATCTTTGAAGAGTAAAACTAAAAGTTTAAGGTTAAATTGAATCAATTTATTGAATTATCAGCATTGTTATTGATTGCTTTTATTCAGATGATTTTAGCTGCAAAATTTGAAAGTTTTTTGGCCAATCTTTTTTTTCAATTGCAATCATTAATGTCAAACAACCAGAAGAGTCACTGTAGCATATCAGAGTTTATTACGATTTATTTTGAAACTATTCTAGGATTTCATGGTGGATTGGTGTATTCATTGACTGAAAAGAAACACTTCTCCTGACATATAATGTTGCAAAAAGGCAATTATCAAAATATCGAGACAATTTACTGTGGGTTAGATGATTTACTTGATTACACGCTGAAAATGAACCTAAATGAAATTTGGGTTACAGTGTTAATATTGATGTTAATTTAACCGTATTTTGGTGTAAAATTTGATAACTTGCACTTTTACATGACCAACTCTTCCTGTTTCAATAACATTTGAATATACATTTGAGATGAAACCTGATAATTTATCATTCAATAACCAGCTAACAGTTATTACAGTTTTCAAATAATTTATACTTTGACTGTAACTTATTAGTCTAGTAACATTTAGCTTGTACAATTATGATTAACCAGAGTTGCACTAATTAACTAACAGATTATTTTTAGCATTTTGATAATCAAGGGTGAACCAGGAACCATCATAAAAAAGGTAAGTTGTGTTCACAAATTGAATGACATGAGAATAGAAGTTTCATGATAATTATCATGAAGAAAGAAGAAGATAAAGATTTGAAATCTTACCGTCATTATAAATGTATCATCCAATGATTTAATTGGTCCTTTAGATTGATGTGAAATATGATTGAAAACATTGGTTAACGGTGGTAAGCTCTTAATTAATCTTTTATATTGTTTATCCTCATCATTTAGAAGGTTTCCATTTGATTGTTTGGTACTTTCAACCTGAAATGATAGCAATGATAAAAGATTAGTTGGGATGAGTTGCATTTCAAGTTCACTTTTGCCTCAACCTTTAAATTAACCTCATCATTATTTTCATTGCATCCGCTAATTACTGCTCATCATTGTCATTGGGTCTAACCTGACTCATCAATTCACAAACTCTGCTTACTTTCCGGTCTTCCTCTTCATACCTTTTCATCCATTTTTTTCATACCTGTTCCTGAGCTTTATCTCTATCTATCTCTCTCTTCATCAGTAACATCAGATTATATTTATTAACCTTTAAAGACTAGAAAATAAAAGGTGTTAAAAATTGAAATTAAATACAAACCTGAAGGGTTTTGTCGTTGAGATCAACATCTCTAATCGAATGGTTATTGCCTGTTAAATGGAGGAATGGTGTAAAAAATCATAGATTTAGTTATGAAACAAAAAAATCAAATGTTATGCTAATCAATCAAAATGAGATTTAACTTTTTTCTTGCTTATTTAAACCATTTTTTTAACTTCATATTTGATAGATAAGCTTGAAATTTTGAGGTTATTATTGTTAAAACAATCCAGGTTAACAAATGAAAGCCAATGTTAAACCGTAAATTTGTTGCTTTTTGGTGGATAAAATTTCAAGGTTTGAAAATCATGTAACAAATCAACTAATTGAAATAGCATGATATACATTTAGGATTTACTCTGATAGAAACCAACGTCTTTACTCACAATGGTTATTATTATTATTATTACAAGAGTTGTTGAAAAAAAGAAGATAAAAAAGAGAGGGAAAATTGCGAGCCAGACAAAACCTGTTTTTTTACCTTTACATAATAGTTACATCAAACTAGCAAATAGCCTTTAGTTATCATTATCTGAGGTAAAATAATTTAAGCCTCAAGTGAAAATATCTCTTCCGAGATCATCAATTGACCTTCCTTGCATCATCATCCAGTGCTCTCTCTAAGAGCCTAAGGCCTAATTTTGTATCGGCTGTTAGGCCACAAATAACTAGATACTGTTTACCACCAGACAATTTGGTCACTTCTTTCTCACAAATTTGGCTTCTCGTCTACTGTAGGAATTTTTGCAAATTTATTTTTCAACAAATTTGTGAATAAATTAACGACAATCGATTGAAGAAAAAAACCTTTTTGGTTATGATATATGCTTCAAAACCTTGATTACTCGGTAACTCATCGTTACTCAATTGTTATTCAATTGTTCAAATCCTTGAACCATGTATTATTTCCTTAACCTATTTTACTCCTTCTTTTCTACTCAAGGTTAAATTCATCGAATGGTAGAAAATTAAGAATAACAATAATAACAATAACTGCAACATTCAACTGTTATTTTGTTGTCTAAAGATGAATCTAAGGAAAAACATCTTACCTGGTAAGGTTACAAGTTTTTTCTTCCAAAGAAACCAGAAAAGAATCAATGTTAATCCAATAACAACAATAGTAACAATCACAGATGTAACAATGACACCCAGAATATCTCCGCTGGTATAAGGACACTTAGGTTGTTGGAAGGATGAGGACGAAACAGACGAAGATGACGGTTGTGCATTTGGTCTAACATTTCTTTGACCATTGACACCGTTGAAAAAAGAGGCAAAATAGATGATTAAAGCAATTTGCCCAAAAACGGTATAAATTGATGGAAAATTTGTCCAACCAGAGAAACCAGAATGAAATCTTTTAACAATAAACATTATTCCAGATTGATGTTTTGTTGGTATAAAATTCCAGATACATTTAAAGCGTAATAAAAGCAATGTTTGATTGTGAAGAAAAATGCAAAATAGTGAAACGAAAAATATTAAAACGAAAAGATGTCAAGAAAACTTTACACTGAATCATAAATAATAATTAAACTTGTTAGATGAAGCTTTTGTATGTTCAACTTAAAAGATGTTCCCAACATGTTGTTAATTGAACGAACACAAATAAATCAATTGACAATAAACATAGAAACAAATGATCAAATTGAGTAATTTAGATAAATCCAGAAGGAAACTTCAACCTGTTCTCATTAGTTTCTTTCACTCTTCTACTTTCAACATTTTCATTAAGCTTGAAATGTAAATAAAAATCCTATTTTCAATCAAATTTACCTGAAAATAGCAGTTTTTTGAAGCTGCGCCATCACCTGATTACACCATCTACTGAATGAAAATTAAACTAACTTGAAATTTATTTTTCCGAGTTTCGATGTTTGATACTATCGCTATACTTTCCCATTCTCTTTCCCATCAAGAGATGGCTTCACTATTTGTGTGATTTAGTTTTTGTTCAAAGCATCAAAGTCAAAACATCCAAAAAAATCTTTTGTTGATAAATTAACAAATTATTACAATTATGAGTCGTGTTGATGGCTATTTAAGGCCGTTTGAACCGGCATGTTTTTCTAAGATCATAAGTGGTGTAGCTCTTGGTCTAGTGCGTAAGTATAACTCTAATTTTGTAATTCCATCTTATTTTTGTTATTCGTCCTATTCTCATTTACCCTCGTTTGTTGTCTTTTTTTCCTTTGATTGTTATTTCGATTCTTGCTTCTCTGCATTGGTTTTCATGGTGACCTAACAGTTGGAGCTGCTGGAGGAGTCTTTACTGGAACTGCTATGTCACTAAGGATGGGATTCAGAGGAAGAGTTTTTTCAATGAGAGTACTGAAGCATATGAGTGTCGGAGGTGCTCATGGTGGTGTTATCTTTGGTGTAGCTCAAAGTTTAAGATACTAAAGATTTTATATTGTTATGCAGCTAATCACATATACATAACTGTACATCTAGATTTAATCATAAGATTTTGATTTAGCCGATAATTACGTTTCACATTATTCTCTCTATTTTCATCTCATATTGGATCTTAATTCCTTAGAGCGTACGCGAATTGATTCTTAGCAATACCAACAGCTGGCCGTCTAGTGTCTTAATGGTAGCCTGGATTTCATTAACAGACATGAATTGAAATTAATGTGTTTGGAATAAAACAAACACTCAGAGACTTTAAGTTTGCAAGTTATTATTTTATTAATCTTGACATCAATGAAAATGGAAATTACATGTAGCAAGTTTCAATTTTTGACCAAATTCGCAGCCTAAAACGGCTTTTACAAAAAAACCTCAATCTGTTGTGAGGTTTAACAGCTTTATGAGCAAAATTAAAGAGTAAGAGAATGTTAAACAATTTTTCACCTTTTAAAACAAAATGTGGTTTGACTAAAAATTTCGATTACAGTTGACTGTGCATGGAATGAAAAGAGTTTAAATACAATGAGGTAATCAAAGGGATAGTATGAAATGAGTGCATCAACGATAAAATATTTACAATGGTTTTTGATTAACAAAATGAGTCAACTTAAATTGTTAAAGTTCTTACGAAAAAATTGGACAATTGATGTGAAAATGAGCTTTTAGTAAGTTAACATAATTAATATTCAATTAAATTAAGGCTCAATCAGGTTTAACAACCTTGTTCTGATGTAGAACGATAAAATAATAAAAAGTAATAATGAATAATAGGTAATATAATAATTGTAAAATTAATAAATTAATTACAATTTAAAAGAAAAATTTGAAAATTAAAACGTTTTAAAGCAGCCCGATCTTGTTGAGTCTTTCTGGTTCACTGCAGCTGTGTTTTTTGTTCAAAGAGATATTTTCTTGTAATTGTTTCACAATTTGACTAAAGGCGGGACGTTGTCCAGATAACGGAGACCAGCAACTGGCCACTAAATTACGGATCACGTTGCTACCCTTAATGTGGAGGACACTTTCATGATGGCCGTTGCCAATTAACCAAATTATGGAATGAGATTGAAGTCTTTGATACGGAAATTTACCGGTCATCAACTCGAAAAGGATTGTTCTGTGATTGGAAAGTAAAACAATTAATATTCTGAATCATTGAAACTCATTTTTGCAAAATAATCAACTCACCCAAAAGCGTAGACATCAGATTCTGGACTAAATCTTCCATTGTATTTTATAAAAGGAGGTTCAACTTTGATACATCTCATTAGTTGCGGACATAAGTACGATAAATATCCACGAGTAACGGCACCATAATCAGAACTGAAAAACAAATGAATAATTAAATAAATGATTTCCATGAAAGTAAAAGCAAAAAATGCAAAATAATCACAAAATGTACTTACCCATTGTAGCTATAAATTGCTGATCCTTGATCGATTAAACAAATTTTAACTTTACTTTCGAGAATTATGTTATTTGAAGTTAATCTTTTATGAATGATTCCTTTGGCATGAAGGTAACCCATAGCCTGGAAAAAACAAATAATTCAAGTTAGTAATACAATTAGGTAAATAAGGTGAAATTTTTTTGGTTACCCAAGTTTAGTTGTAAAAAAAGGCATAAATACTGCATAAAGTTGAATGGGTTTTCAAAGGTAAATGTTAATACAGATAAATTGCTAAGCAAACTTTCCTTTCTGCCCTTGGGGTCAAAATCTTTTTTAAGTAACATACAAGGAACAAGGAAAGGACAACTTGGTCCAGAAGTTAAGGTCAAAATATTGTAAAGGTAGACTTAATTTAAATAAAATTGAAGCAAACAGTAGACTGTCGTTGAGGTTCCAGCCTATTCATGGCTTTCTTTGGCAAAACCTTTTTTTTTGACCATATTGCTAGCAAGATCGATAAGTTTTAAGATATCTTCGGCAATCAAAGACACAAGAGGAAAAAAATTTTTCAACAATTCAACAAATGACCTTTCACCCTCAACCTGTCCAGCCTAAAAGGAGCTACAGCTACAACCCCTACGCGTTCAATGAAAATGAGCTGTTAGACCGCCTCAAGATGAATGCTTAAGCTCCTAGAGCTTCTTTTATTTCATCTTTTCTCTCTGTCTAAGTTTCTTTCTTTACTTTTCTTTTGTAAAGCAAGATAAAGGCAGCACACGACAGACGCACGTATTTTGTTAGTGCGTGTTGGTAAAAGCCTGTAACGATTATTACCCATTATGTTACCAAGTTTGCTTAATATCCATAAGGATGACTTTGATCTTTGAATAGGGAAACAAGGCTACCAAGAAAAACGCAAAATCAAAGACAGTTTTGCATAAATTTTATGCTGACGCCTGTGAACTTTGGAGCGTGTGCAATTACAGTTCACAGCAAAACAAGATGAAGAAATGATTAGTGTCTGTTGTAATGAATATAATTGATTAATAGCACATAGTTTTAGATGATAATGGAAAGCTGAAAACAAAATTGGCGACTGCAATCAACAGTTGTGTTTACAAAAGCAAATTAGGAGGACTAAAAAGTCGTTAACCAGAATAAACATAAATTCGACAATTTGATTTAGACTCAAGTAAAAGCAAAAACTGAAGTGAATTAAGTAGGATTAAAAAAAAGTTAATTTGGTTAGCAAAAAAAACAGAAAAATTAGCACAAAATTGTATAACAAGCAGGAAAACAAGGAAAAAAAACAATCGAAACAATTGGAAATGCTTATCATTTTCCTATTACAATATTTGTATCTTTTTTTGTGATTGAGTGGGACAGGACTCGGTCAAGTTAAAATTAAGTGAAACATGGATTAATTATGTCTAGCAATGGTTTGCAATCAACTGTAAAAGAAGCGAAAATAATGGTTGAATAAATTTTCTGCAGCTTCAGAAATGATTTTACCAGGGATTTCCAGGTATATACTTTATCAACCAGGTAGAATGACCTTGCATCAGAAAACATCACACAACTATTGATTCCATCTGCCTTTGAAGACTGAAAGGTAAAACTAAAAGCAACAGTCAACAATCAGCTCGAACAGACGTTCATCAAGCCTAAGGCAAACTTTCATAGGTAAAATGTTTACCGGTGTAAGGGTAAGTGGGTAGGTCAACTGGACCACCAAGATGAAGTGAGACAGAAAAAGAGAGAGAGAAATATTTTCAATGGAAATCCAGACTAATAGTAGACCCTATTAACTCTTTCACTTGACCATTTTCCAGTAACAAGGTAAAACTTTAAACACACAATATGCATTACTTCATTTTCTCAGTGTCAACAGTAAAATAAAGTGAGCTGACAGTTAATTAAGTCAAGGTGAATTGTTTGAATAATCCCAAGTTTACTTAAGTGGTTTAATCTCACTATAATTTGTATACCATGTTGTAGTAATTAGAGTTAAATTGTTTATTTGTCCAATCAGTCTATCAGCAAATATTACTTAAATAGAGTCAAGATTAGTATGCGAAAGAGGGCTAAACAAAAGTAACCAACGATGGGTGCAATAAATTGTTAAATATACAGTTTAAAAAATATTACCTGAGCAATTTGTCGAGCAATATTGATCCTATTGGGAGGCGATATTACTTGATGTTTCACATGAATATGTTCGAGTAAAGATATTCCTTTTCTCATACTAGAAGAAAGACAAAAAAACAAGGAAAACATTATTAGTAAATTTGCAATTAGTAATTATTAGAAATTAATTGCACATTGAATTGATTGTTACCTGGTAATGACGGAAAGATTTGGTGAATCAACACAGGCACCCATGAAAAGAACGATGTTCTCATGACGAACCATACAAAGTTGAGCAATTGTGTCCCAAAAATTGCTTACATCATCATCTTTGGTATCTTTGAATGTATGAATTAACACTTCACCATGCCAATGGCCTCTACATGACGGGAGAAAGAGAAATTGTGTGATTTAGAATAAAATTCAATAATTGAAATTTGATAGCAAATAGTTTGAAAGAAATACTTACTTGTAAATAACACCATTTTGACCAACCCTTAAAGGTTTTTCAAAATGAAGGTCTTTGTAAGGGATTGACCATTCCTTAATTGCTTCTTCCACATCCAGATCTCTAGATTGTCGTCTGGTAAATGCAATATTGCAAGAAAATATAAAATTAATTTCAACAATTTGATAGAATATTAGTTTGCAATAGTTTATAATTTGAAACTGATCAGTTTAGACTACAGTCAACAATGAGCTAGCAGATTGTACTTTTTTTTGTTTCAAACCTTTAGTGGCTCAACTAATGTTTTCAGGTAAATTCAGTGATGTAAGATTATCAAGTTAAAAAATCAAAGACGGAAGGTAAAGTTCGAGGTAAAGCCAATTTGTGATCAATTGAATGGAAAACAATTTAGTAACTGAAGCTGAAAAAGGTTGAAAAATTGCATTTCCTACCTGCTATAGCTACTGTTTGTTTTAATGGGATAAAAGATGAGTTGAGTATCGAGAAAAAAAAGTTGATTGAACATTTAATTTAAATTGTCTGGGCGTGTTTATGAATTGATAGCGTCACTGAATAAAAAAGCTTTGTTTAATGAAACAATGCAATGGCAAGGTTTGTCCGCATCTATTTTAAAATTATATTGTTTTTTTAATTAATGAACAGCTCAATCAACAATAGCTGCCTATTAAATCATTCACAGACAAAGACGTCAACATGATCTGAAACAAGTATTTAATTATAGAAAATGATTAATAATTAATCAATAAGGTTGCCTATGAGGTAAACTTGAAACCATTATTAATCATAAACAAATGATGAATCTATTTCTAAGCTAAGATGGCGGGAACTGATCGTTTCACTGCATAACCTTAATAAGAATGAATGACTCAATAAATAATAATCGGTACGTAAATGCAAATTAATAATGAATGCACTTAATGTACAAATGATTCAATTTGTGAATTAAAATTCATATTTACCTGGATGGATTGAAATTTTTATCGTAGTCATCTTTTTCGGGTAAAAAATCGTCAATACTACTGATCACTGTTGTGGATTGAGGCCAAGTTGCACAAAGTCGTTCACAAACAGCTTTCTTATGTTCAATGCTAAGAGTTCGAGCTTTTGCAAGGGCATTGTGTTTGCCAAACCTTCCTGATTCATCGGGTCTGGTTAATGCATCAATGGTGTAAGCAGAGGGCTTACCATCAGTCTCTGAATCATCGAATGCATTTTCACAAATGTTTGGATCATCGATGTCTACACATGTCGTATCCAAAGTGGGCACAACCAGAGAGGCAGCAAAATAACGAGCTGGAGAACTAGTACCAAGGCAAGTTGGACGCTGATATGTTTGAAGTGAAGGATGAGCCGGACTAGTGGCACGATTTTCCGAATTGGATGATGTAGATGATGAACGTTTTGAGGCTGTCTTGAAGAAATGTTTCAATTTTTTGTGGGCAACTTTTTCATCGAAAAAACCAAATTTGGTTTTGGATTGTTTCTCAGTTGGCGAAGGTGAAATAACAATAAGCTCCTTTGATCGTCTTCGGTGGGATAACCAGTGGGCCACTTTAATTAAACCAGAAATTGGCGCCGGTGTAGGATGATTTTTACTGGATGAAAAAAACATGAGACACATAATTGTTTAGTAATAGTAACTGTTTTGATTGCACAAATATACAAAAATTAAACTGTGAACTGGAGTAAGAAAGGTTGAAAACAATGGACACTTCGAAGAGGAAGAGGAACAAGGAACCAAAAATACAAAAATGGGATCAAAAAAGCAGAAGGTTGCATGGATCAAGTTAACTTTGCAAACATTGGACATAGAGTGAAAATTTCGATCATCATATCATCAATAACACAGCTACAGTCATGAATCGATAGAGAGTCAAACCAAAGGGAGAGAAAGAGAGAACTAAATGGTTAAAGAGAGAGAGAGATAGAGAAGGGAGAGAGAAAGAAATTGAAAAACATTTGGCAAAAGCGATGAACCAAATGGTTATAAAAAAGACAGAGAAAGAAGAAAGGTAGCAAGGAAAGAGTGAAGAAAGAAAGAGAGAAAAAGAAGAGAAGACAGACGGCAGATGCTCGTGTTATTGGCCTAAGGGTCCAATAATTTGGCACACGGTCCTTCTTAAGTTAACGCGTGCCGCTTTCTTAAACAAGAAAACATGAAGAAAGAAGAGAGAAGAAAAAAAAATGTTAAGTGAAACGCGTTTACAGGTTAACGTCCATTCTTCTTCTCTTTAGGTGCCTTCGATGGTCTTTGTTGGTCTTATTTTTTTTCTTCTTCCCTTTCTCTTCTTATCTTCCTTATTCCTCTCTTAGCTCACTAGTTCTTTCCCTCTTTGTCGCTCCCTTTATCATCACTCTGATTCGCTGTTAAATTGCTTAACCTCTCTAGTAACCGAGCTGTCTAAACCATGATATTAACCTTTTTTGTGGAGACTGTTAGGCTAAGGATTCTTTGGTTTTACTGTTAAATGAAACTGAAAACTGATAAGAGTGGCGACTAATTGTCTAGACAACAGAATTAATTCACTTCTTTCTTTTCTCTTTTCCATTTCTTAATCCATTCTTTAATTTGATCAAAATTTTGGTTCCCACACAAGATAAGGAAAAGACAATTTTACTTACTTTGGACAATCGAGATCCATTTCAACATTAAAAATGTGTTGATGTTGACAGTGATGTTAACGATGATTTTGATGATTTTAATGATGTTGTTGTTGATATTAAAGTAACTGTTACATTAGGCTTCGTTTTAATATTCAAGATTAAGCTTGTTCGCATGGCAAACCTCATGGCTTCAAATGGTCGTAACTGGTTATACTTTTTTTTTGTTGCATCTGAAGCTCACTTAATATATATTTTTGTGCTTGAGAAGGAGGATGAAGATGAGGATGAAGATCCAGGGAAGCAAGTCAATAGAGAGGAAGAAGAGAGAGTGAAAAAGAGGAGGAAGAAAGAGGAAATTAGAAGAGAAGATCAAAATCGATAAAACTCCCAGGCTTCAGGGAGTCAAAATCCATACACATTCAACTCTAACAGTGTAAGTGTATAAACTCAACCTTCTCACTTTGCGTCTTTTTGTCTAATATTACATTGTTTATTTCCACTTGTAACTTATCTTTAATATTATCATCATCATTACAAGTAAAACTCCAACATTTCATCCATTTTTAGATGATTATTAATAAGTTTTCCTAATCATAAGATTCCATCTTTTCATGCACCTTTACACCTTTACCTTTGAATGACAAATAATTGTTACCATTAAACTAACAAATAAGGTTAACAGTTGAAATTGTTTCGATGCACTGTAAACTCATTATAAATAAAATGTAAGTCAATAGATGGTGCTTACGCTACTGTATGAAAATTGTCTATTTTCAAATCCATTTCTGAGGTTAACAACTTAATGTTAAAATATTTTGTACTTTGATTAATTAATAAACAATTTTTAATATAATGTCGACTTATTTTCAGTATCTATGATAAAAGTTCATTAGTGTCACTGAAATGTAAATCTTAAGCTAATTTTGGTTATAAGCTGCGATAAACAACCAGGAAAAACCAAAACTTGAATTGATTCATTTAGTATGTGAATAGTGCAATTGTTTATTTTTTTGATAAGTATAATGAACGGAGACTTGATTAAAGATTTACTGAAATTAATTTTGTTGATTGATAAAAGCCTTTCACTTTAATTATATCCAGTTGACAACTTATAGTTGATTGATTACCATGGATTGTGTTACAAGTTACAACAGTTGATACTGAAGGAGATTCATAGAGAGTGATGGTAATCAAGGAGTACACCATAATTTGATCTAGTTGAACCAGTTTATCGGAACCAAAAATCAACATAAATTACCCTTGATAAGATGTGAAAATACAATTATAACTATACATCGCAACGTCTTAGTTATCGATGTTATAAATGGTTGTGATTAACGTGAGTTATCCTTAACATTATCCAGTCTTGCGGTGAAACCAACTCAACTTTACTCAACGATTCAATTTACCATTCAAACTTGTGCTAAATTGTTACTGTTACTGTTACAGCTAAATCCACCCGAAAGATAATTGTATAAATTATTTTATTCAAGGTAAATTTTGAATTCACATTCTTCAACAATTTAAATTAAAATTGATATTTGTGACTAGTAAGGACCAATCAATATGAATTTGTTTGAACATCAAACCTTGGATGAATGGAAATTTAAGTTTCAAATTGGTTTGGTTTCAATTTTTTGATTTATTTGTGTTCCATTTTTGATTAACTCTTGATTGTCACTGGATCACAATAAATACTTGATTATCTTTAGTTTTATTTTGTAAATCAAACATCTGTTTTTTATTATTTATAATCAACATCAATAATTGTATTTGCGTTTGCTTTTTTATTTAAATGCGATTCTCAATGAGAGATGTTAACATTAACAATAGTCAAATGGTAATGTTTAACAAAATTATGATCAACTGTTCGGTTATGAATCACTGATTCCTAAACAGAAGACATGATTGATTGTTAATTAACTGCCATTGTTTTTAAGTTATCGATTAAATTGTTTCCTTTGTGCATAAAACATTCATTTTTGTAGGCTTTAGCTATTGGTTTAAGTTTGATATTTGATGGAAGCAAAATGATTATTAGATGTAAAATGCTTGATCACATTTAGCATTGGAATGATGATCATTGGATTTATTTCAATCCAAAATGAACTTGATTTACAATACATTTTATCATAATCAATTCTGGCTAAGCAAAGCCATTTTTGCCTCAAATAATAGTCAGACATAAACATTATAATCAGTTAAAAGTAAAGCAGATGATCATTGGAATCATTTCAGCTTTGCAAATCAGTGAAATAATCTCCTCATCTTTTTCACTTTTTCAGTAACAATTGGATGTAGTTTGCCTTTTGATTGCTATGGTTGCCTCTATTAAGTCCATTGGTTTAATCATTTCGATGATTTGTTTAATTTTGATCCATTCAACGGACCAACAAATGGTTACAAATGAAAGCTATTGCTTGACCAAAATGAATTCGTCCCTAACTACCTGTGAAGGTAACCTTGAAAATCGCCTTGATCTTTCCCATCAACCCGATGATTTTGAAATATCAGGCTCTCATTGCTGTTATTTGGCTGAATTTACTCATTGTGTGGAAACTTTGACCCAGGAAAAGTGCTCTAAACAACTAAATGATTTATATTCATCTGGCAATTTTTCAATCACTACTAAAATGATTCATCGATGCAAAAATTACTCTCTCTATGTAAGTCCCAATCTTAACAATTTAAACTCAAACTCAAATAACCAATAAAACATTTGTCCAACTGTTAAAAAAGTTGCTGTCAGTTTAGCTAAATTGTTATTAGCACATTTGGACAGTAATCTAGACAATCAGCTAATGTACTTTGAGATTGTTACAATGTTAACGAATTAAGTAATTCATTTCTTTATCTTAAATATTCAAAGCAAGGCCACTTGATCATCTATGTTGATCTAGATTCCAATATACACTCATTAGCATTCAATCTTGAGTCGATAATTTGTGTGATCAACCATTAACCTAAAATTATTGATTAACCCTAATTGATTTTCATTGTAATTGTTTCTTTCCATTTAGGGAGTAACTTGTACTCTTTTAATCCATATAACTTATATCATTGCCGCTGCCGTGATTCTTGGAGCGATTGCGGTTGTTTGCTGTGTTATTGGATATCGTCGTTGGCATATGCTAAGGAAGGAAGCTAAGCAAACTGTTAATCCATTTAATAAATATTGAAATATAAATTGGGTGGCTTCAAATTTTCTCCTTGTAACTCCATTGATAGATAAAAATTATGTATTACCATTTTTGTGGCCATTATTCAACATGATTTACCTCTTTTATACCATATTGTACCATTCAATGATTTATATAATTACCATAAATACTATTGTGTTTAAGATGAACAGTCATCAAAGTAAATACAGTAAGATCCCAGATCATGAGAATACCTTGAACTAGCTTATTTACACTATTATGTGAGATTCTCATTATTTGATATCTCTCTGTACTAGTAAAATATATTGGAAAATGATAAATTTAAATATTTCGAAAATAAAATCCGAAAGATTGTCAATCATAATTACTTACATTATTAATACAATTGAGAACTCAATACGCAGATTGAAATGCTAGAATCAATTCCAAATGTTTTGAGCAAAACCGAGTTTGTTTATAGAAATATGTTTTGATAATCGAATTGAATTAGTTTGATTATTGAATGATTGAAATAAGATGAGTAAATAATCAGAAATCTGTTTATCGTTAATTTTAAAGTTATTATTAAGGTTTAGGTTACAGAGATAAGAAAAAGTTATTCAAACAGTATAAGTGAGAAAACGTTAAATGGACATTTTAACGTCCAATTCATCGAGTTAAAGAGTCAACTGTAATCATTCTTCTTTTTGTGATTCCTCAGTTGGTTTAGCGTTAGCATTAGCTCTGCTTGATGCTTCCTTTTCTAGTGTTTCCCGTTTCTTGGAACCTGAGACAATATCATCAATTCTAAGTAAAATAACAGCAGTCTGAATGGGAATAAAATAAACGTTAGTTAATTCAAATAAAATGACATAAAAAGATCAACATACTTCAATTGCAGTTTTATAAGCTTGCAATTTAACAGCCAAAGGTTCCCAAATATCGAGAGTTTTCATATCGACGATAGCCCCAGTGTCACCATCAATTCCCCAAGTTTTAAATTCATCAGTAACATGTTTAGCTCGAAGCTCTGTAAGAGTTCTGATTGTGTTTCCTCCACAATTTTGAATGAGTGTTCTAGGAATTACTTCAAGAGCTCTGGAAATAGCTCTATAAGGCGATTGAGTTACTCCAGTAAAACTTTTAGCCTTATCACTCATTAACTAGTTAATAATAACGAGAAGTAAAAAAATCGATATGAGATTAATGTAAAAATAAAAGAAAAACACAAAAAGGTTTAACGATTCATAAACAACCAATGAGTTATAAACAATAACACAGGATGCACAAAATAAAAAAATAATACCTTTCCAACTGCCATTTCAACGGCACCACCACCAGGCACGATGAAAGGTTCAAGGAGAATGTTTCTAGCAACACACATTGCATCTTGTAAGTTTCGCTCAACCTCTCCGAGAATGTCTTTGCTTGGACCACGTAATAAAATTGTACATGCCTTTGGATTTTCACACTCTACTATGAATGAAAAGTACCTAGAAACAAAGAACAATTAAAAACTGCGAATAAAGACAAAAAATTCTGGACTTACTCATCTCCGATTTTTTGCACTTCGAAAAGCCCAGCTTTTAAACCGATATCTTCTTCCCTAATTTCATCAGTACGGTTAACAATGGTGGCACCGCAAGCTCGTGCAAGACGGTTGTTATCAGTTTTCTTTAAACGTCTCAAAACTGATATATTGGCTTTGGCAAGGAAATGTTGAGCCAAATCCGATACACCCTTTTCAGTTACTACAAGATCTGGTTTAAATTTGATAATATCAGCACATACTGCTTGGATATAATCTTCTTCGATTTGAAGAAGAGCAGTAAAATCATTTTCTTTGGTCATTTCAATGTCAGTCTGAGATTAAAAAAAGTTTTTTAGACAAATGCTTAAATTTAAAATTCAATGACAACTTACCTGACTTTCTCCTTTTTTGTATTCCAACCCACAGTCGAGAAGAAGAATTCTTGGTTTTTCAATACGTCTGAAGGAAATGAATAAATTAATATTTGCTATCAAATTCAAGTTATCAATACAAACCTTCGCATTTTGGAGTGAATCACGTCTTTATTAAACATAACTCCCTTCAATACTTTTGAATCTTCCAAAACACCGCCGGGGACCTTTTCAATTTTGGCATAACGTTTTATGTCAATTTCTTTTCGTCCATTATCATCAATATAAACTGTCTTTACCGCATCTAAGGCTAATCTACAAGCAAATTCACCACTAATAGAATAGAAAAAAAATATTAGACATGAAAGTTATGATCGATGCCATTTGAGATGTGACATACGTTTTACCAAGAATTTTCGTTCCGATACAGCATTGAATAACTTGTAAAATCTGCTGTTCATTATTGAGATCTATTGGTAAAGCGACATCCTTTTTAAGGAATTCAGTCATATCATCTAAAGCTTGTCTGTAAGCACTGATAATGACAGTTGGGTGCATATTTCGCTCCAAAAATGGCTGAGCTACAGCCATAAATTCTCCAGCCAGAATTATCACAGAGGTAGTACCATCTCCAACTTCCTCATCTTGAGTTCGACTAATTTCAATCATGGTCTTAGCAGCAGGGTGTTGAACTGTAATTTCTCTTAAGATAGCATTACCGTCATTAGTCATAACAATAGAACCCATGGGATTCATGAGCATCTAGATAAATAGCAACGATAAATAAAGATCAATCAGTTTAAGAAAAAAATGATAAATTAACCCAAATTACCTTAAGCATAGATTTCGGACCTAAGCATGTCCTGATCACATCAGCGATAGCCTTAGCAGCTCGGACATTTTCAAGTTGAACCTTACGACCAGATTCTCTCTTGGTGCCCTGACCTGAAAAAATAATCCAGAATTTAAGTTAGTGAAATTAAATGTAATATGAAATAACAAAAAAACAATGCAACCAAACCCATTCACGCCTTAAGTAGATAGATAAGTAAATAAAGAGATAAAATAAACTTACTTAGAACAAGAATTCGGGGTGCTTCCATTCCAAACATAGCGATGCAAGTCTAAAATAATTCTTTAACGAAAAATTATGAAAAGACAATAAAAATAGAATACTTAAATAGATGAAATTAATTTAATTGAAAATGAGATGCACGTTCAAAATTAAATCAGACAATGCTTCAATTCAATGCTTGTAAAAACCACTAATCGATGTCAGTCTATCGATATTGATTGTTATTTTCACTTTATTTTCTCTTAAAATAACAAGATTTAAGCATTTTTGGTTTATAGACGTTTATGTTGTTATTGTTTTTAATCTGCTTAAGTTGGTCCAATAATCAGTTTAATTTATATTAGTCCATTTCCAAAGCATCTTGAGGTAAGGCTTTCATATTTTTCTGTTTCATTTCTTTTCACACTGCAACCAGTCTCATTACTTTTCTTTCAAATTATTTATATTCAGTTGTTTCATAATGGTACCAAAATATGGTAATCGAGTCGGCTGGACGCCTAAAAGTGTTGATGACTTTGCTGACGGAGGAGCTTATCCAGAAATCCATGTTCCTCAATTTCCAATAGCTGACAAAGGGAATCAAATCGTTAAAAAAGATTTGGTCGCCAGTTTTTTACCTCCATCTGATCTCACTCCAGTTGAATTGGCTACTTTAGAAGAAGACAAATTGGTTAAACCCAAGCCAGAGGACCTCAAATCAAAATTAGAATATGCGAAAGCTGCGCTACAAGCAATGGCCGAAAATAAGATATCATCTTCTCTTCCTACTCGTCGAGCTGAGCCTGTCGAGGCAGCTAAATACATCAAATATGTGCCTCAACAAGCTTCATCTCAGTCAAAAATTATTAGGATGGTCAGTATTCAAAAAGATCCATGTGAACCACCGAAGTTCAGAATAAACAAAAAGATCCCCCAAGGACCACCTTCTCCTCCAGCACCAGTTCTCCACTCTCCACCTCGTAAACCCAGTGTCAAAGATCAAAAAGAATGGAAAATTCCTCCATGTATATCTAATTGGAAAAATCCTAAAGGATTCACAATACCTTTGGATAAACGATTAGCAGCTGATGGTAGAGGCAGTCAATCAGTTCAAATTAATGAAAATTTTGCAAAACTGGCTGAATCATTGTATGTAGCTGATAGAAAAGCCCGTGAAGGAGTTGAAATGCGCGCACAAATGGAGAAGAAAGTGGCTCAAAAAGAGAAGGAAAAGAAGGAAGACATTCTCAAGAAACTTGCACAGAAAGCAAGAGAAGAAAGAGCTGGACTCAAGAGGTCTGCGGGACCTGCTGAAGACGAAGAAGAACGTAATCAAATTAGACAAGAAAGACAAAAAGAAAGAAGACGAGAACGAAACATTGAAAGGTCTGCTCCACATCTTAAAAGTAAACAAGAACGTGAACGAGAAATCACGGAACAAATCGCTCTCAATTTGGCGAATCCTAAAGCATCTTCCAATGAGCTTCAATTTGACCAAAGGCTCATCGATCAAACTCGAGGTTTATCCAGTGGGTTTACTGAAGATGATGAATACACAGTCTACGATAAACCCTGGAAAACGGCAAATGAACTTGGTAAAAATATCTACCGTCCACGTAATACCAATCAAGACACTGAAGATGATCTGGCCAAGATCACCGGCAAATCATTCTCTGGTGCTAAACAAGGAGATCGTGATGGTCCAGTTCCGTTTGTTGCTGCTAATACATCTAATCAAACTGTCAACGAAGATATCTTTGGTATTGATACATTCTTAAAAGAAGCTAAAAGATCTACTAAAAGAAAACGTAATTGATAATTTTAAGAATCAATTTAGCTGAATAAATTACTTTTTTGCTTGTAAAAATAAATTTTTCATTTAATAATTTCTCTTTCTTATTCATTCATTACGTGAATTAATTTTTGCATCTGCTTTGGAAAATATTTATTTAATTTCTCGAAAATTTATCGGTTAATTATTTAAAAATAACATTGATCAAGTTAGGGGCAAAGAAATTTTGAATGTGAAAAATAAGTTACTTTAGTCATTCAGCAGTATGAATAAGCTATTTCCACAGTCATTCCTGTTGAAATAGGCTCTATTATTCAGCATAACTTGCAAGGAGCACAATTTTGTTTTGAATAAGTCAACTTTATTTAGTTAATTGCCAATCGTCAAATCGCCTTTATTGTTGTTTATCTTTTAGTTAAAGTCATCCTGTACCGTATATCTTCGCAATGGAAGCTGTAATTGGAATAAATTTCAACGACTTTTCTCTGATCGCTGCAGATACTCATGCAGTGTTTAGTATTATTTTTGTTAAAAATGATGTCGACAAAATTTACACTTTGAGTGATAATTTACTGATGGGGGTCATTGGTGAAGCTGGTGATACCGCTCAATTTGCTGAATTCATTAGTAAAAATATTCAGCTCTTCAAGATACGAAACGGATTTGAATTGTCGCCCAAATGCGCCGCTCTATTCATCCAAAGGAACATGGCTGATTATTTGAGAAGCCGGACACCATACCATTGTAATCTTGTTTTGGCTGGTTTTGATAAAGAAAAAGGACCCCAAATGTTCTATATTGATTATCTTGCAACTCTCGCTGAATTACCCTATGTTGTTCATGGTTATCCTATGATGTTCACTTTAGGTCTTTTGGATAAAGATTACCGGCCAGACATGACTGAGGAAGAAGCTATCAAGTTGATGACAGATTGTATTTATGAAATTAACACTCGATTCGTTGGTTCACTTAAAAACTATGTTGTCAAGAAGCTGGATGCCAATGGTGTTAAAAGATTACCTGATATTTGTGTTACCAAACCTAAAAACTCCTAATACTATTGTCAACCTTTCGTATAAGAACATTTGATAAATCGATGTTTAATTTGACTATTTCTTTCTACTTTATTTCTCATAAGTCATGCCTCTCACCAAAATTGATAAATATGGGATTGATATGATAAAAATGATATTTCGTTATTCTCTCCAAGCATTGTAAAGTATAGATAAGCTTGACTAAAAAATTGACACAAAAAATTTGTAGGAAGGGTATCAATGTCAGTATCATTTTAACCCTTGTATTTACTGGTAGAATTCATTTTCGTGCATTTATCTGATATTCAGATAGCATCAGGGTTCCAGTGCTAAAAATTTTCAACTTCATTCTCAAATTATGATTGTTGGACGATTGAATTTATAAGGACTCGAGCCTATTATTCCGATAATATATTGAGGTATTAATAGATTTTCATTAGCAATGGATTTATAGTAACAAAGAAAATTTAGACAAAAATTAGATGTTCTATCAGCATTTATCAAGATTCGGATTAATATAAGGAATTTCAAGGAAATCTGTTGGCTTGTAGGGACATATTCAAAACCATAGAAACATGATTTTTGAACACGAATACGAAAATATTGAGTAAAAGTGTCGATTTTAGTTGATCGACGATAACTGTGCGTGAGAAGAACCATTGGCTCTGTTTTGCAAGCAAAAACTCAGCCAAGTAAACGGCAATATTGCGTATTTAGAGGTTCTTTTTGATATAAAAGTAGAAACTTGATGGGTTTACAGGGCCATGGAAACTGAATTCATTAGTTTTATTACAAAATATCTGTGCTTTCGCTTTTTTAACAGGTTTACCCTGGTATTGATAATGTTTGTCGTTACTCAAAAGACAATAAACAACACAATTGCCATGTTTATAAACAAATTGACACAAATGGGTAAGAGTTAGTGTCTTCGAAATCAAAACTCTGTTGGCTTGTAGAGGCATAAAAACTGAATCCTTTAATGCCATTTAAGAGTTTCTCTGATCAATAGTTTCCGAGAAAATCGTGCTCGAAGTTGAAACTTGGATCGCGTTTTATTCAATTATGGAAGAAAATATTTTTATGAGACTCATTTTCCTCGATGTAAATTCAAATGGCCAACCAGAAAATGTACTTTATTTTATGAAATAAAACTTTGTTTTGCCGTAAAACCGATAAGTTCGATTTTGAGTTAAACGTGTCGCATTCTGTGACCATAAGATTTAAAGAACTCAAACTTATAATTGGTCGATAAAAATTGTTACTACACATCAACAGTATAACCCTTTTATGCGATTTAAAAGTTTCTCTGGTCAATAGTTTTCGAGAAAATCGCGTTCAAAGTTGAAACTTGGATAGCCTTTAATTCAATGGACTTGGAGACATTGTGAATGTTTAGTCTTTACAATTTAAACAATTGTATAGTGAATCTGGATAAAAAAGCGATTTATGACTATACAGTCCAGTATTCGGTTGAGGCTGAACAAGTAATCGATCGACTTGCGTTGGGTTTTTACAGTCTTTCACAGGTTAACTCTGGTATCAATAATATTGTTTGTTACTAAAAGATACACATAACATCACAACTGTCACATTTAGGCACAGATGGAAACAAATTGGTTAAAACGGGTAAAAATAAGTTTGATTAAAATTAAAACTCTGTTGCCTTGTAGAGACATAAAAATTGAGCCTTTTTATGCGATTTAAAAGCTTCTCTGGTCAATAGTTTTCGAGAAAATCGCGTTCAAAGTTGAAACTTCGATCGCGTTTTATTCAATTATGGAAGCAGATATTTTCATCAAACGTATTTTCCCGATGTAAATTTTAATGGCTAACCAGAAAATGTACTTTATTTTATCAAATAAAACTTTGTTTTGCCGTAAAACCGAAAAGTTCGATTTTGATTTAAACGTGTCGCATTCTGTACCCATGCTATTTAGAGAGATGAAACTTATTATTGGTCGATAAAAATTGTCTCTACACATTAAAAGTATAACACTTATGTCAAGCAATGGATAGGTCGCTTGATTTTGGCCATTAACCCAAAAACTTTGAGCCTCAATATTTCGAGAATGGTTTCACTTGTGATCATCATTCTTTGACCAAACATTAGATCTTACTATGGGCTAAGATATGCTATAACTAAATACCAAAGATATCTTAGTTAATTCATTTAATAATTGATATTCTTTTAACACTCCAGAAGAAACCA